CGCTCACACACGCTCACACACGCTCACACACGCTCACACACGCTCACACACGCTCACACACACGCTCACACACGCTCACACACACGCTCACACACACACGCACCCACGCACGCACACACGTACACACGATGCCGGTTATCTAAGCTAAAGCGGACAAAATGGCAGAATTGGTAAACCGGCCGTATTTCTACCGACTATTTCCGGGAAGTCGGCTGTGACGAGTGTAGTGAAACAGCATCATCATCATCATCATCATCATCATCTACAGCAAAATTCAGGGTGATATTCGGCAATGTCTGTAGGAACAGGAGTTAACCATGAGTGTTTTTCCAAGGATTATCCCGCGCATCCCAACAAGATTGCCACGGCACAGTCCTTGAAGAAGGCCTTCGAAAAAGAAAAGATGACGCGACAGAATCTTGACTGGATCACCGCTGCGAACCCTCCATTTGTTTTGGTTACTGCTTGCAATTATCTTGTTATGATATGATAGTTGTGTTTACGAGTATGAGCTCCTTCGTGCAGGTATCAACATCACAACACGTGACAGGCAGTACCCGGTTCAAGACTAGAACTTGTCCAGTGGGCACTCTTTCGCGCAGACATGCGCAGACTGCAGGTCCTTGCTGGTACATACGTTGTAGGTCGTTGATGCAACATCATGACATAATGCACCGGAACCCATCCGATCATTCACTACGCAAGTTAGCTCTCGGACATGACCACGACGAAGTCAAGACTTAGCAGACTTAGCCTCTGTTTCTTCCAAAATCATGAACCTGGACCATCCCTGAAGCTGTTAGAAGCCCGCCAGTCAAGGAATGCTGAGTATTTGATTCGCAAGGGTGTGGAGCACCTGAAGGTGAATTGCAGAATTTGGGTGCAGCCAGTTGCCTGCGAGAGCCCACAAGTTGCTGGCCTAGTTGTGTGGTGTCTCAAGCATGCGGGTGCTAATGCCAAACCGAGAACGGTGTTTTGGCAAACTTCACGGACCCATCAGCCGAAATGCGTGAGAGGACAGAACTGACAATCCGGAGTTGGATCTCCCAGATGCTGTGAAGATCATCGGCAACTGCCACTTGGTCCTGAAACTCAGCTCCGAGCATCTAATTGGTGGCCTCCCCCCTCGCCCCCACACCACAATAAGAAAGGCAGGGCGCCGGAATAATCAGACCATGGCAATGTAATGATTCTCTATTAAAAGCAATCGGCTGCAGATCCCTGAGGTGCTGTAGCTTCGCAGCTCAGCAAGCAAAGCAAGAAGCCTGCCGACAGAGGTTTTTGAACCCCGCCGAAAGTATTTTCTTTAAACGTGGTGTTCTTGGCCTTCGTTCCTTCAAGGACCTTGATGCTAAGAAAGACCCTCATTTAAACTCCGTCCCTGAACCCCTCCCCCCCCCCTATTTTCCAGAGACATTTTAAGGGCCTTATGCTGATTATTGATCAGGAATGCGAAAGGTTCTGTCATGCTTGTTAAACCAAACGAGAACTCCATGTAAAACTAGCACGAAGTATGACAAGTCTTGGTAAATCACTATTAAGTTTCTTCTTTTCGAAAGGTTCATTTCGCAACCGTGAATGCGCGAGCCTCTATTAGCCTTGCTTCTTTTCTCTCCTCTTCACCTCCTCTAGTTTTGTTGAAAGAAAGTCCCAACACATTCGCGAAACCTCCATAAGCTTTGCTTCTCTTCATAACGGCAGAAGACCATCCTCTTCACCTCCTCCAGTTAGTTCAAACAAAGCCCCGTTCTAGAGAGCAAGCTCGTGAAAGAACACCCTTTAATCATTCGAGAATAACCTTTATTCGAGAGACTCTCATACCTCTGCTGCAAACAACGAAGATAAGACGTGCGAGAATAACACAGAGAATCCACTGTTCAGTTCTTTCTTGCCTCAAAAACGAGAGCCCCCCTCTAAAGACACATTTGCACACCACGGAATGGACGAGCCTCCATATCTTTGCTTCTTTTCATACTTCAGAACACCATCCTCTTCACTTCTTCCAAGTTTTGTTGAAACAAAGCCGTAGTATTCTAAAGAACAAATTCACGAACCCTCCATGAACTTTGCTTCTTTGAATACTGCAAAAGATCAGATCATCCGCTTCACCTCCTCCAGTCCGTCCTGCCGCCGCTCTATAAACACTGGTTTTCCAAAGAGCATGCCTTCAAAAACAACGAGAAACCCATAAAATGCCATAAAAACCATAATGTTCACAAACAACTTGGCCACCCCAGACAGTAGTTTGTAGAAGCATGGTTTTTGTGGCGTTTGTGGGCTTCCAGTGGTTTCTGAAAATGGCCTTGCCAAAACATCGGTTTTTCCGCTGCAAGCAGACCTTGGAGGATCGAACATTGGAAAACGAATCAATGTTTTCTGAGAGTGGTGTTATGTTTGTTGCATTTTATAATGATTTGCAGTTCTTACCGCCCCCATCTTTGAATACAGTGACATTCGGGCGCCATGCCAGTTTCACAAGAGCTAGCTTTTCCTAGTTGCAACCGCCCGAAGCCACTGTTGTGGCTCATGCAACTGCGCGCCGAGTGTGTTCGGCAGCTTGGCCATGTCTTCCTTGACTGCTCCATGTGTTTCCCAACAGTGGCTTTGCCCAAAGCATCCCATCAGACCAGCCCAACGAAACCCATCCCACCAAGGCATGCAGGTTTGGACAGCTAAGTTGTGAGATTGCTGCATTTTGTGCTTTGCTGCCCGGATTTCAAGGCATTTTCAGAATGTAGGAAGTCAAGGATATTGGGCTTAGGGGTTTATGTAACGATTGAGGCTTTTCCCTCGGGGCCGTAGTCCAGAGCCAGCTTCCCCCCAGTGTCTGCAAAAATGGGCACGGCCGCAGTTCAGGCTTCAGCCTTGTTCAAGAATGCTACAATGTACTATCTACTGCGCTAAGACTTGCTTCTGTAGTGATTCAGTGTACCACATATGCTATACTACGAGCCCCACCAGTCCCATTGGCTCTAACTGACCCCTTAGCACATCCGCTGTTGGAGAATGGTTCACTCTTTGTTGGGCGAGAAGTATTCATCTCGTCGATGATGAAGAGATAGTCTGAACAGCTTTACGAAGCAAAGGCTTTCAGATCCGAGTTTTCTCAGGAAGAAGTCTGGGCATTTGTTATCCCTACGTCCCCTCCTGTCGCAACTTCTCACTGCAAGCAAAAAACCGACAAAAAGTGCCTTGCCGGCGTATTACTTCAATGAGAGGCCGAAGCCGGTGATCACAAGCAGCTAAGATTCAAACTGGCTTAGACACACATCAATTCTTGCGAGACTGCCGAGGCCATAACCTTTGCCAGCGGCTTGGCTGCATCTGCATCGCAGACGTTTCGATTTGAATGGTTCCTCTCTGTACTTGCTCAGACGCTGAGTCTCCGGGGAGTTTGCCATTCATGGCTTGTACTTCTTTGAGGATTGTGGATGCGAAGGAAAACTCTCGGAGTCTATTCCCCACCTTAAACTCAACTCTTCCCCTCGCCCAGAACTCTTCCCCTCGGTCTACTCCCAGAGACTCCCTGGGGTGCTCAACCCCAGAGACTCCCTGGAGTGCCCAACCCCCGACACTCCCTGGAGTGCCCAACCCCAGAGACTCCCTGTGCCCAACCCCAAAGACTCGCTGAAATGCCCAACAAAAATCTTAGCAATGCCCAACCCCAGAGACTCCCCTGGAGTGTCCAACCCCAGAGACCTGAAGGTGGGGATGTTCGAAGTAACATAATTTTTGTTTGGCCGGGCTACTTATTTGCTCTGACCTGAGCGATCGCATCAACATCCTCATGTAAATGCACAAGTTCGTTTCTGACAGGCCAGAGGTAACAAAGGTTCAAGTTGCAGAGCCCGTCTTTGAAGCCTCAGGAAGCATGAAGAGATCCTGCAGCAGTCCTACACCATACTCTGCGACAACTTGGAAAGAAAACCCGGCGATGCAGGTGCAAACTGGGCTACCCGAAATTCTTGGTCAGAAAGAGGACGCGAAAGGGACGCGAAAGGGACGTACCATCTTGGGCTTCACCTTTGAAGTAGCTCAGAATAGCGCATGTGGACCTTGTTTTGGACAGTTCTCGTTTGGAGAGGCCTTGTGTTAGTTTGAGCCTTCTCTGAGGTGTGCCGGTTGGCCTCGTGCACCCGAAAGAGGAAACCGTGGAGGCCGGGATGTTTTAGGGATGGCTAGATACAGCTGCGCCGGAAACAGTGTAGCACGAAACGCCTTCGTGTGCCAACTGCGCCATCTGGCAGACCACCGTGGAAGAACAGACTCCAGTTCTTCTGCTGCAGAAAGGCACTTGGCTGTATCAGACATGCTTGAGACAATGCCTTTTTCCTTCAGAGTCAAATGGTTGACGAACAAACGACGCAGCAGCGGAGCCTGCCACTACGGACACAGGCTTTTGTTAGCATTTGCTTGTGATAGGCGTCTCCTGCAGCCTGTGCCTGCATGTTCTCTGATTTCTCAATGGTGTGGCGGCGCTTGAACGGTGAACATTGAATTACGTAGGTCATGCCAGCTTGGCCTTGGTTGACCGTGCAGCAAAAAAACCACTGACTTCACAACGAAGGCATCGAAAACCTCATCTCCATGTTCGGTGACATGAAGATGGCCCAAGAAGCCCGACAGTACTGTTTCATGCGAGGTGACCACCACTGGCCTTTGATCAGCAATATGTTCTGTTGGTTTCATCCTTCCGTCGCATCTTTTTAGCCCGAGGAAGCAACGCGTGAAAAGCTCCTCCAATGCTTGGTGCAGGAGATCCAGTGTCAAGCTTGCACGACTCTTGTCGAGGGCTGTTTTTGCACATGAGCTCATGCCAATCGATCTGGTTGACCAGACCATTATACATTTTTTGATGGCTTGATGTGTCGTGTCATTTCTTTGTCTCACTCTGGGGCTCAACGAAGTCGGAAGCTCGGGGCAAGCCCGCAATCCAGACGAACTGGACACATGCAGCTAATGTGGCGTGACAACACGTGATGTTGTGAGCATTGGGTCGCATGTCCTGTAGCCCTTCACAGGAGCGTCAGCAGGCCTTGTCGCGCCGCAATCGGCAGCACGGCAAGGAATCGGATCTCACGATTGTTTGTGTTCGGCAGCGCCTGTTATGCTCCTGCTCTAGGTGTCTATAGCTGGATGATCATGACACAGTAAGGCTCCAAGGCATCGTGGACGAGTTTCATTCAAGGGTGCAGCGTGCGCAGCGTGGCATAGTCCGGCTGGTTCACTTCATGGGCAGCCCGGCATGTGATAAGCCCGGAACCACGGCAAGCTTGTGCAAAAAGCGCTTTGTTTAGTATTTATTTATTTTTTTTTTGTGTGTGTGTGTGTGTGTGTCAACGTCCAACCCAAGACGATTAACAAACTACAAAGTATGAATCATGCATATGGTACGGATATCGGAGGGCAAAGCCTGGACTGATCCAGGGGTACAGTACCTGCCAGTGATGTGTGTACCCTCGGTGTCCAAAAAATTCCGCAGAGAAGTTGCAATCCCAGATCTGTTGCACTCCCAGATGATGCGCAGATGCAGTCTCAGACATGTTGCAGTCCAAGGTTTGCTGCAGCCTCAGATCCAATTCATGACTGCAATGCCCTTGTGCTGCCCTTGTTTTCGATTCCTCAACCTATGTTTCTGCAACCTGCCCAGATGAGCCACAGGCAATGGGTCATAATTCCGATGAGAATGCCACAGCAGAACCTTGTTTCAGATGACAAGAAGAGCAAAAAGAGGCAGCATAGAGTAAGAAGAAGCGTCCAACCTCTTCGTCCTTATTCTCTTCTTTGTCGACCTAAAATACAAAGTTGCGCGTGGGTTATCTTGCTTTGTCCAAAGGATGACAGGCAATAGTCCTCTATTGCTCTTTGGGGTCGAGTGGTGATGCCTGGTGCAGTCTTAAAGTACACAGGATCTAGACTGACATGGTGAGGTTGGGACAGCGCATTGCAGTTCCGGCTTTTGTTGAACGGCAGTTGTCATGATGGCCCAACATTGCTGTTTGTTTAACATTTCCCAAAGTCGGCTTCCAGTTGGGAGTCTCGGAGTTGATGATGCCACGGTTCATCCGAATCACGAGCGACACTAGAGGCCATTCCTTTCGACACCATCCTGGCTAGAGCTGAGGTACAGCGGATTTCGGCAGCATTGCCAATGTGCCTGACCAAATTGAGAATGATGCTTGCCCGAATCGAAGAAGTGCATCAGAACAAAGCTGGTCCGTGTAGGGTCTGTGCATGAGCCACTTGAAAACACAGAGCGACCACATGTGAGCTCACAAACAGCGTGGGTAAAAGAATGTAAAAGATGGACCACTGTAGGGATCCACAGCAAGGATGTCATGCGATGCTTCGGCTCACGACCCGCCTTGGCACGGGAGCAACTGCAGCCCAGTCAGGTGCGGCTCGGGTGTTTGAGACACTGTTGGTTACGCGACTTCACCATAGATAGCATAGGACACAGGACAAGGCTCGGTTGTTGATTTTTTTCGGCCAGGAGGGCTTAGCACAATGCCATGCGGTGTTAGTCACGAACGTTCAGGAGCTAACGAGTTTGAAACAGCACGCGCGAGCGGCAAACACGCTTGTAAGCCGACGAAAGCTGAGATATGTTCTGGTAACATTCTACGAGGCATCGGCCTGGTGAAAACATTCCTTGATTGGTTGCGTAATGTCGTGCCACGAGACCGATGGCAGAAAACGCGTGCGATGTGGTTGACAGTCTTACCGAGATGAGCTTTGTCGGCATGAAAACTGCCAGCTAGCACATCCTCGCAACGCAGGCCACGGGCCGCAGAAATCCTTCAACCACTCGTTTCTGATGCGCAGGTATTGAAGCTGGAACATGAGTGCAGAAATGTTCACGAGAAGTTCCTTGCATCCCGACTGAATGGGCATTCCAAGCCAACTTTGAGCAGTTTTGGCCTTGTTTGTCTCCCCAAGGAATTGGTGAGCGAGTTTTCCAGCCTCGTGGAGTGCCAGCCGACAGTGTGGAACATCGCGACAAATAGCCCCTTGGCCTCCGCAAAGCTGTGCTAAGCAATGCAAGAATGTGTGCAGAAGCGTTCTCCCAAAATTTAGCTCCGCGTGACATCCCGCGACCCCAAAAATCTACTGCGGACGTCAGGTCGCCGCCTTGGCACATCCTGAGCTCTCGGCCACCCCGCAGGCTTTCGAAGGTGCGTGGGCGCGAAGGGTAGGGTCAGGGCATGTCAGGGCGACTGGGGAGTTTGTTCCGGTTGACATTTAGTTGACTAGCTAACCCTTGAGTTTTTTGAGTGCAGACGCTCACTGCGCAGCAAGCTGCTAGTGACTCTGCCTCGGCAATGCCGCTTATGGCTACTACTTGCTACGGGCGTTTCTGTGTACTCTGTTTGGTGCATCAGAGTACTTTGTCTAGTAGGCCCCCCTAGCGGCTATGAGTAAGTTCACCGGGGGGGCCGGGTGCCCAAGTTCACAAACAAGGGTCAAAGCTGTCCATGCGTTCTTCAGCCAAAGCATGCAAGCCTGGTCTTAGAAGGGCCGAAAGGGCAGAGTGCAGCTCGAGCTATGTCGTTCCGCCGCCCGCAACACAACAAATGTGTTGGGTTGTTATCTGACTGCGGCTGCGCGCAACACGACAACCACTAGCACCAGCATCAGTATCACGTCCGAGACACCACCACTAGTACCTGGCGTGACAACGACACCCCTGCCGTTATCTGTGTTGCTGGTACGATTTGCCGAATAACTGGCTGCAGCTCTGCTGTCTCGAAACATCGCAAGAATTCTGTTGGTTGCAGTCATGAGATCAATGTAGATGCAGTCAGGAGATGTCGGCAGACGCGGAGCCTGTACACATCGGCTCCATTGTGAGGTGCATTGCAGAATTAGAGCTGCGTTTGAGTTCCAGGTGAATTGGAGTGAATTCCGCTTGCTTATGTCCGACTGCACCTCCGAATGGAGATAATGCGACAAATTTGGGTGCCTTCGAAGTCATGCGTGGCAACTCATGTGATCTCATGTTCTCATCGGCATGCTCTGATACGTCCGCAACTTTTTGTCCTGCATCTTTTGCCGTACCCCCCAGCATGGCATCCCTATTTCCCAAAGTGCGGACGTGCAGCATCAAATAGACTCGTCATAGGCAATAGCCTTTTTGGAGACATGATACCTGACACCTGGATACCCATAACTTAGTCCGTCCTGGACGTGCGCTGGTACAGAGTGGCCCCGTCCTTGCTCTGAGGCACTGATCATCAACCTGATCATGTTCTGGAGGAACTTGTTTTTTGTTTGCTCACACCCTTCATACAAAGATGTGGCTAGACTTCGCCTTTTTGCCGATTGCTTGCTCATCTTATAGCTTCCGAGCTACCACCATACAATGCAGCTCGGCAGCTGGGATGTGCACGTGTCGTGTTGGTTGTCGCGCGTGACCTCCGAGTCCCAGTAGTTCCAGGCCAAAAGTCAATGCGAGTTGCCGCTGCAAACAATTCAGAGTTTCACAGCTGTTGCAGCTTACGTCAACTTCTGCATGGATCAAAAGAGTTGGGTTGCTTCGCCTTGCATCTGTTCTATGCTGTATACTGATTGCCTTGGCAGTATCTGCATTCTTGTTTTCGCAGTTTTTGTCTGACCGCGAGCCTTTGCTCATCCGAAAGTTCTGCAATGCTTATAACGGGATTCTCCGAGTGCAGGCGGGATTCTAGGGATTCTCTGCAGGACTCGCTGCACGACTCCAAGCCATTCCAAGCCTGTTGTTCCCAAGTTGATGTCGTCGGCGACTTTTGGGACTTTAGGGGTTCAAAGCAGCCGGTGGCTTTTTTGGTGTCCGCCTCATTCCGATGGATCCCTTGATGTAGGAAGCCTGCCCTCTAGTTCTTCAGGGCCTCCCTTCCGGCTGCCCCTGATGGGGCATTGGACCCAGCACCTTCAGCACCTTCAGCACCTTCAGCACCTTCAGCACCTTCAGCACCTTCGACTCCGCTCCGCCCTCGGGAGCTCTGCCTCTGCCCTGCGCCTCCGGGGCTACGTGCGGCTACGTCGGCTACGTGCATGGGTGACAGCCCTTGCAGGTGCGCTCCATCACCTCTTTCGCCGTCTTGCCTTGTGTGTGGCTGCAACTGGCCCTGCCACTGCACCTGGTTCCCGTGCGGCTCGGGCACCTGCAAGGCCTCGCCATTCCACCGTCAACTCGTCCGAGCTGTTCCGGAGGCACAATCAGCTCTTCGAGAACTTGCTGGACATTCCTCCTCGACACTTGGCTTCTTGCCGAGTGCTTTCTGCCTCATCCAGTCCCGGTGCTTTATCATTCCGCGGGCGCAGGGCGTTGAGAGCCCTACAAGGGTCCACACCTGCGCTCCTTCACCGTCTCGACCCTTGGCCACGCTTTAGAGGCAGCTCGGAGGTCCAAAGTGCTTCATGAATTGCGTCGGCCCTGCACTAGGACCATCCCCATGTGAAGACTCAGGGTTCGTGCGTCGGAGCAGTCTGCAAAGTATGCTCCTCTTTTGCCGAAGGCCATTGCCACACAGTTTGACCAGCGCCTGCCTTGTGACGGCCATGCCTGGCCTTGCGAGGGGAATCCTCGCCCTCCTCACATTACCGCCGTCGTGAGATCTGCCGCCGCAAGCTGTACAACAGTCACCAGTGGTGGGAGCTTTTCATCAGACGTCGAGGACGGCCTGGCAACTGTGTGGATCGCCTGAACGGCCTTGGCCTGGATGGAAGCCGTACACAGTGTGCACTTGAGCATCAGTAATGTGGGCGTATGGGGCAGGTGTGGAATCACCGGGCGCAGAGCAAGAGTGTGTGTGTGTGTGGGTGTGTGTGTGTGTGTGTGTGAGAGCCGAATGACTGGAAGCAGAGTGTTAGGGTTTTTGAAAATTCAGTTCGCTTGTTTATTGAGTATTGTGTGTGTGTGTATGTATGTATGTAGCTCTACACAATGCATATATATATATATATATATATATATATATGCATTGTGTAGAGTTACAACAGCAAAGAAATTTCATATATGTTCTAGGACATGTTTCAGGAAGTCGCTGTTTTAGGTTCATGATAGAGGTCCAAGCATGATTTTTGGAGGGCCAAGGCCTCATTTAAGCCTCAGTTGGAAAACGCAGGGGTCGATTAGTGCTCGGCAGATAGATGGGACAGTGATTTTCGGGACGCACTGTGCTGGTCGTTGCAGCTTGAAGCCTTGAAGCTCGATCACATTTGGTGTGGCCCTCGCTATCCGCTTGCGCAAGTTTGGACGAGATGCCCCTCGGCAATATTTTGTCGACGGGACTCGAAAGAAAGACAGCTACGGCGTCTACGGTGTTCGCACAGTTTTGCCACCTCTGCCTTTGAGGTTCTTTGCCGGATTCGCCGCAGGCCTGAAGTCCTCGCCTCAGACTGGTGCCCGAAGGAAGGGCACAATGTGGCCAATGCTGCTTTAGTTGCTGTGGCGACTTAGATTTGCACATGCTCCACAGTTCGTAACGTCGTGACTCTAGTGACTAGTAACAGCAGCATGCCTTCGTTGGAGAGTGTGCCGGCGCCCCCCCTCCCCCCCCCCCCCCCCCCGCCCCAACACTTAGAAAGAGCCGCAGCGTGCCTAACCACAGCAATTCCACAGGGCAGAGCACCGTCTCCTGGTTGGCAAGGATTACAACACAGAGAGATGTCAGTTCCCAATGCAGGTCGTCCACGCAATGGGTCACCAAGTCCCGATGGCGTTTGAGTACAGGCCGGTTTTGGGAGAAGGATGCTCGTGATCTGGCTGTCGACCTGCGTGAGGGCTACAGTTTCTTTGTGTGGGGCTTCAGGGGCATGCTGCTTGAGATTGCACTGAGGCTTGGTTTCGATTTCGATGAAGCCACCAAGTCTTGTCAAGGCCAGACTTCTGCATCAGTGCCATGCTTCAAATTTTGCCTTCAGAAATTTGCTGCCTGATGCGTTTCCAATCCCCGGCATGGTGTGCCAATGCGTTGCAGTCCCCTCGAAAGTTCCGAGGCTCACCTGGACCTCTTCAAGCCTCGTATATCTTTCTTTGTTGTATGTGCAGAGTGCATCAGAGTGCCAGGGCCGCACCACGATGTCAATGTCGGTGGAGTTGGAGCGCACTTCGAGGATGCTGCCTCCCGAAGTAGCTTGACCATGCAAAAGAAAATGCTGCACTCGATTCTGGATGCTGTTGAGGTCTTGTTGAGGTCTGTTGAGGTGTGCAGGTGCCAGTTTCCGAGGTGGAGACCAAGGAGATGCAGGTTGAGCCTGTCGTGGAGATCCACTACGACGAGCCACTGGTCACGGTTGAGGGAGAGTTTGCCAAAGCAGAAAGCTTGAGCTGCCTTTTCGTTGGCGATTTTTCGCTTCGGATCTCTCTGGACAGAGGTGTTTTTGCAGTGTTGTTGAGTCTCCTAGGTTAAAGCACCTCACGCCTGACGTTCTTGATAAGCTTCGCAAGGCTTTTGCTGGCCGCAGCCTCAGGCATGTGACCCAAAATTTCCATGAAGTTTCGATACACCCCATTTTTGTGGGGGTTCACCATGAGTGGAGGTGGGAGTGGTCTAGTGGTCGTGGTCGTGGTCGTGGTTGTGGTGGTGGTGTTGTCGCTCTCGTTGTTGTCGTTGTTGTCGTAGTCGCAGTAGTAGCGGCAGCGGTAGAGGTGCACCATGCGGACGTGTTTGGACATGAGGCCCCCGCGCCTACGGAGCGGTGGCCATCACTGGAATCCCTGGTCTCTTGACTTATGTGGCGGACGGTAGCCTTGCCCAGACATCGTACCTCTTAGAGTCAGAACAGGAGCTGAGACTGAGAGATGACACGGAACTCTGGAGTGGTAACCTGTTCGACAATTCCTTGTAGGACAGAGCGATGTAGGTAGGTAGGCAGTATGTTGTCGACTGACGCGCTTCGTCTCGTTGCGGCAGGTTATGCGGAGAAGCGCCGCAATGCTTATCGCGCAGGCGCTCCAGGGGAATACTCGGAAGCTTTGTCCCCACTACTTGAATTCCAGAAGAAGGGGTGAGGAGTACATGGCTCCATCCGCGCGGCAAGCGCAAGTGAGCAGGTCTTCGACATGCTTGAACCTGAAATCCTTACCTGCACTACATCTGAACCAAAAGCCCACAAACATGAAGCGTACCCAGGCACCTGCAGTTCAAAGCAAAAGCGCAAAGCATGCAGTTTGCCGGGAAGAGCCGAACGTGGGATGTAGGGCTCCTCGTGATGCCGTCCAAAAAAATAGCGCCTAAAAACCCATCACTGCCTAGAGCTCCTAGAGCAGCCCGAGCCCTACATGCCCTACGCCCTGCGAAAAGCCTTTGGAACTGTTCCAGGGATTGACCTGGCACTTTTTGACGGCGAGGGCCGCAAACGTGCTGCCGCTGTGAACAACACTTACCCGGGCTGCCTGGCACAAATCCCCCGCTTTTTGCAGGGGGGCTACAGGCTTTGGATTTCACAGTGTTTCTGGGTTAGAAAAGTTCACCTGCAAGTGGGTCGTGCGGAATCGTGCGGACTCCCTTTTGGAGCAGCTTTGACAACTTGAGTGTGCGCAATTTGAACTTGAGCGCTCAGTCAGAGAGCACGGAGAGTGAAAGCACAGAGGTTGGAGCGGGACTCCAGGCGGGCGCCTCTTTTCGTGCGCTTCAGGTAATCAACCACTACAGAGCACTACTTGACCATAGACCCTTCGTCATTAAGAGCCAGTCCATGCAGCGTGTGACTAAGCATGAACTTCAATGATCTTAAGCTTTGTACATCTTGTACTGCCCGTTTGTGGTTGCTTGTAATCACCGCGGAATAAGTTCCTGGTAGTCGTGCCTTTGAAGCCGCACGTACGCTGGCGTTTCACATAAGTCCATGCCGAGCCCATGCACATAGGCATAGCACAAAATCCCGATGCAAGCTGGAGCAATAATTTGAAATTGCATTCAGATGGTGGTTGGTCGGCATTGGTTGGTAAGCAGCTGAGACTTCTTGGGAAGCGCTGGTCTCAACTTGTCGCCAATTGCGCGAGCTTACGCTGCACGCGAGTTTCCCGAAGATCAAGCTCGTTGCAAGGCTGTCGGTTGTGCGGTCAGCCGCAGGCTTCGAAGATCGGCGCTCGGTATGTGGTTTACGGTCTGGGCAGCCAGCTCCACGCGCAGGTTTCGAAGATAAACGGCTCGGTACGTGGTTGTCGGATGTAGGCAGCCAGCTGCGGCTTCGAAGAGCAACGCTCGGTGTGTTGATCTCGGGTGTGGTAAATGTGTGTTTTGGGTTTCCTTCTATGTGCTGCCAGTATAGTTCCCCAGAAGGGGTCCGAAAAGGCCGATTTAAAGTCTCAAAGTAGTTCATGGTGGATGCGTGGATGCGTTCAGTGGGGGAAGGGTGGAAACATGACTTAGGCATGACTTCCGTTTGCCTCAGGCATGACTTGGGCGTTTGCTTGTATATAGTAGGTTACCATGTCCGGAAATGCTACGCGCCCGCGAGAGAACTCGTTGCATTCAGTGGCTTGCTGAACACGATCTGTGTGCTTGTTGATGCTAGTAGCGAGTCCAAGCACGTAGGCTCGCCATCTCAGTTGATGCTGAGCCTGATTCGTCGTTGCAGGCAGTGAAACACACCCGCGCCTTGGCAAGCTGGAGAGCTCAAGGCATCTGAAGGCGCCATTCGCAAGATTCACAGGCAGCTGCCACCATAGTTCAAGCTGTGGAAACGCCAAGAATGTCACCAGTATGTCACCAGTGCTGTACCATGGTCTTCCTAGGCCTGTACCTCCTTTCCCCCCTCACAAGTCAAGTGCAAAGTGTTCCGTGCCCTTCTGGATCCTAGGCTGCAAAGCAGCTTTCTTTTCAATGTCAAAGAAGAGCTGCCACAAGGCAGAATTGATCCTTTGCTGCACGGCTTGGGCATGGCAGAGCGGCTCTTGAGTCACGTGCGTACCGCGGAGATATGGTGTGCCAGGTGTGTGATCATCATGGTGCATTCATCTGGCCTGGTTTCAAGGGGGTGTAGGCTTCTTTGGGAGGGCATGTGTTGAAAAGGACTGGCCTCTTCCTACTCCCAAGCCCGAATAATTCTTTTCTTCTGGGGACTTGGTTTTGTTGTCAACGAGGGGGGTTGATACTTGAGTTCCGGGACTGGGGTGCTTTTGTTGAGGCGGGGGGGTGATAAATGGCAAGTCCACATTAATACTTGTAGGGCCAGCAAATGCAACCCAGGATCCTTTCTTTGGCAAGAACATCTTCCCCAGCAAGGATGCGGGGGTCGCCCCGCATGCCAGTCATTTCTGCAATTTGTCCGATCCAGGAACAAAAACATTTTGCACAGTGTGCAAGCTTCGCTGGAAGGAATATCGTCGGACCTGGGCGGAGTTTGCAACACTAATGCACGCCGTGGCGATCGATGTCCTTCGCGGTTGCCCAGAATGGATTATGGCTTTAATGCTCGTTTGCATAAGCAGTTCATAAACAGCCGGACTGAGCACAACTTCTGGCGCCGAGGTTGTGACAAGGTGATGGAGCGGGACGTGCCCACCTGGACCGACTCACCTCGCAGCCTTGCCAAGATGGGTGCCTCGTTCTTTGAATGGCTTGATGCAAGCGTATGCTCCGTAGCCGCATAGGTCCTGTCAGGAATCGTCTCCGAAATTGAGGATGGTCTTGTCGAGACCAGGGTATGTGCGGAAAAGCATGACGGATTGAACAAGGTGCGGAGCCAATCCGCACTGTAGATCCACATGATTCAACCATCGGCGGTTGAAGGGAGCGCGGGCATCGGCATGCGGTGGCCGGGAAGAGACGGGAGGCCCTACTTTTTCCTCCTGGCCATTTTTATGGCCATGCTGGTGGCTGGCCGTCATGTTGACACATGCTGACACGTGCTGACACGTGCTGACCCGTGCAGTAAGGAGCAAGGTATCAGGGCCCCAGAGTCTCACGGTCTCACGGCCCTGCATATTGCTTTGAATGCATTGCAATCGCTGCTGCTTCTGCGCTTCCGCAATGAAGCTGGGATGTCCCAAAGCGGCCTCGGACTGCCTAGGACGGACTCAATAGGGAAAAGCTTGGAATTGTAGATCTTTTCTGAGAATCTTGAACAAGTTCTGAAATTTGCATTCTGGAGATGGGAGCTGGGGGTGGAAAAGGACTGCTGTTTCAAGGGCAAACGCAAGCAAGCTGAAGGCATGTGGTGGACTTCGCATGACCGTAAAGGCCTCCAGAACTCCAGAGTTTTGTGCCTCCACGTTATTTCCAAAGCCATGGGCCACCATGTGTCCTACAGAGCTTCAGAGGCTAAGCAGCACACAAAATCACTGGGAAGGGCGCTTTGCGGACCGCAGATAAGCCCAGTGACCGCAGCAAAGAAACATAAGCAAGCTGCCACTCACTAAGAATAGCGCTGTCTCAAGCCCGATCGAGATCTGGTAACTTGAGGTGACGAGGGGCCTGCGCTTGCCGGTCGATTCATTTGCCAGGGCCTCGAGCGGGAATGCCAATATTTGTAGTAGGCCTAGTCGGCCGAGTTGTAGCTTATTAATCTCGGAGTATATGTAGCTGAGGCCTCAAGAATCCTTAAGAGAAATTTAGCATCGGGAGGTTCTAAACATCAACTCAAATGATCTCAAATGCACGTCGTGTTTTTCGTTTGTTTACGCTAGCTCATCTTCCGTGTGGCAGCTAATTTTTCGTGGGGCTCTTCACTTAAAGTGTAGCTTGCTTGTGCTTTGTCTTCCTACTGTGGTTATAGTCTATTGTAGTTGATTTTGTATGCTGGTGTGTTCATACACATACTTTTGGCCTCGTGCAAGGGCCGCCGAACCCTAAACCCTAAACCTTGGCATCTGGAGCTGATCTTACGCGGCGCTAAGGCGACCCGACAACAACGTTTAAAAACACCCGATATTTACGATCCAAGTTGCCCAGAGCTCAAATTTTCGAACACCTCCCGTGCAAGTCCTTAAACCATTTCAAATCATCCTGTAGCATGAGTTTCAGAAACATCCGAAACCCTGAGCCCTAAACCCTCTGCGGAGGCTACGATTCTGGTTTCACACGGGAAGATCGACTCCTCGAGCATGCCAAGAACGGCGCCGTCTCTCGTCTAAGGCCCCAAAAACGCCTGTTTTCACCAATATAGCTGGCTGATAGCAAAATCGTGCAGCAATGCGAAGTAGTTGTGATTTAGCTTGATCTAACCTGCTGAAGATACTGGCCACACAAAGATCCTGTGATATGATATGCTGTGCCATCTTAGGACGAAAGCCGTAGCAACCTCGATGCTGTCATGGATGGCCAGCAACGCATCACTAACGGCGCGAAAGTTGCCGGGCACGCCGGAGACGGCTTGGCATCCATGCGCACCCACTCCACCCCTGTCAAGTCCGCCGGGCACGCGGGAGACGGACTGGCATCCATGCGCACCCACTCCACCCCTGTCAAGTCCGCTGGGCACGCCGGAGATGGCTTGGCATCCATGCGCACCCACTCCACTCCAGTCAAGTCCGCCGGGCACGCCGGAGATGGCTTGGCATCCATGCGCACCCACTCCACTCCAGTCAAGTCCGCTGGGCACGCCGGAGATGGCTTGGCATCCATGCGCACCCACTCCACTCCAGTCAAGTCCGCCGGGCACGCCGGAGATGGCTTGGCATCCATGCGCACCCACTCCACTCCAGTCAAGTCCGCCGGACACGCCGGAGATGGCTTGGCATCCATGCGCACCCACTCCACCCCTGTCAAGTCCGCTGGGCACGCCGGAGATGGCTTGGCATCCATGCGCACCCACTCCACTCCAGTCAAGTCCGCCGGACACGCCGGAGATGGCTTGGCATCCATGCGCACCCACTCCACCCCTGTCAAGTCCGCTGGGCACGCCGGAGATGGCTTGGCATCCATGCGCACCCACTCCACTCCAGTCAAGTCCGCCGGCCGTTTTGCTGCAAGACGCTCTAGCCGGCTGGTATCAGCCGAATCTTAGAAATCATGACAGGTACTGAGCACAATGTGAGAAATGGTCACTGACCTAATCATGTAGAAGGTATCGCAGCTCATCCGTCACCTATCCCTGTGGGGTGAAGCTTCCTGGAGACTTGTTAAGGGTTGTCAGATGCTTAGAATTCGAGAGTTTAGGGTTTCGGCTTTTGCGGGTTTAGGCATACCGTTTGGGTGGGGGACACGGAAGCATGTATGGATGAGGTCCCAAAGCACACGCCAATTCGAACACAACGGAAGTTGCCAGCGGCGAACAGTTCGGGCCTCAGCTCAGGTCTGTATGCATGGTCAGAACATGCCAAAGAGCAAAGCCCGGGAGACCGAAAGAATGGCAAAGGAAATTAGGCCCACACAATAGATGACTGGTGTCGTGTTCTGAGGCCTGGTTTCATTTTTTCGCTCAGGCCTGGCGATTACTGGCTTCCTTGGCATGTGGACTCCAATTTTGCAACCATTCTCCACAAGGACTTGAACCTGAATATCGAGAGTTGGTACTTGAGCAACTGATCTTTGCATGTTGAGAACTCGATTCGGCCGTGAACTACCCTGGTAGCAATACGCGAATCTAGACCAAATTCCACCTGCTCATGCGGATCAGAAGCTTGGACAGTTCAGGCCCGGGTCATTTGCACGGAACCGCATTGGCCTGCGTCCTGATTCTGCAAGGAGATGTATGCCAGTGAAGCCACTGGAGAATTCCTCTCAGAGCCAGCAGGGGCTGGGCTCATGATGATGAATCAGGCCAGGGCTTCCGCTGTATCAAATGCTGCCGCAGGCTTTTTCCAAAGTGCTGACTGCATCATGCCAACGCGAAGAGTAGTCCGGTATTGATATGTCTTGGGTCGCCCAGCTGGCAAGTCAAGAAGCTTACGACTTTGATGTGCGACTGTCAGCTTTGATCTTACACCGCATGGTAGATCCATGCAAGAACTACCATGCAAGCACTCGCTTCCAACGGCCAAGTCGAATGATGTGTAAGGCTTAAGGTTACAACTGAGGGAATTGTTGAGTTGAGGATTAGGGGATGGTTTTTTGTTCGCGCAATTGGCGCGCCGTCAACAGTAACACCCCAATGGCCACGAAAGCAGTAAGGGCCAAGTGTCAAGAAGCCCTAAATCTGATGGATGGCCAGGCACGTGATGCATCGGCAGTCTGCAAATCACAATTGAAAGACACCAAAATCTAAAACCCGCAGACAAATAGAATTGAGATCAGGGAACACTGATCCTACGGATCGCAAGTCTTGGAAGACAGAGGTTGCGTCATTTCAATGTTCGGTCAGCAGCGATGTCTATGCCAAGCTTCCAGCTTGCAATAAGGCGCTCAGCACATTGAGAAATGGTGCAGCATGGATCGAAACCCAAGCTTACTTCGTGGTGCTGGGCTGGTTGACTGAATCTGTGCCCTGACGTGCGTGGAGACAGCGCCACGCTGCCAACAACTAAGGAAGCGACCAAAATTGCGAGGAAGTTCGGGGTTAGCTGTGATGAGAGCAGGTTGCTAGATAGCCGAGTTGGATCGTACATGTTGCGCACCAGCTGGCCTTGACTGGGGTGAACTGGGCGAGACTTGTGGAGCAATGCAACATTTGGTGCCATGAACAGAAGGACATGGCAGCAAAACACAGCCCTATCCCAAGTATTGCAAACATCGAACCTCAGTCGAGAAATGCCGTGCAGTTGCAGGTTGGAGAGACGACGAAGTTCCAGTGTTCTGACCCAGATGCGTTAGTCCTCCAGATGGGCGCGTTCGGGCAAATCTACACAGGCGTTGGGACCCAGAATCTTTAACTTCTTTGTGTGGCTGTAAGGGTCGAGACAGCTCGCAATCTTTGAGTCGCAAAGGGGTCAGGATTCCAGGTCGTAGCTTTGGTGCAACAATGTGCAACATGGTGCAACTTTTGCTTCTCGCTTCTTCGCAGTAAACTGAGCAAAGGCTGCACCTGCACATCGATAACATGCCACACGTAATCTCCACCGTATTATTCCAGGGTCAAGGTGAAAGGAAAGAGAAGGGCAAGCATGCTTGCAAGGGCAAAGGCAGCAAGAAGCGAATGCAGTTTCAGTTTGTGCCTTGGTCCAGGCCGAGGAACCCAAACCCCAGTTGAAAACGCGGCTCCACATGTAAGAACGGCAAGAGCCAACCCAACACTTATAACGACCGAAAAGGGGAGAAACCAAGGCATTCTCGGCGGGTTTTGGGAGGGCTGGTGGGGAAGCAAGGGGCTTCTTATGGCGATCTTGACAGTTCCGCGCTGAAACTCAGCAAGTCGGGGAGTCGACCACAACGAATTGACCTGGTACCAGTATGTGCGAATCTGCAGGAGGCTTTCAGCGGGAAGTTAGATGAAATCTCAACGGGAAGCTTGACTCCTAAGATTGTTAAGATCTTTGCTGGACTTGTTCGGGGTTGCAGTCACTTGAGATCGCTGCGCCTGCACCAGCAGGTGGTGCTTTGACATCTTGTCGACATGCTGCCTACATCTTAGACAGAAGCTCCAGGCACAGCAAAGGCTTTGACACGTTTTTCCCAGTTCCCCACATGTCGTGACTCAGGTCCTCAACAGCTTGCAGCCAGGTGTGGCGCGTTTCAATTATTGAACCTCGGTTAACTTAATGCCGAGCAAGTTTGAAAATGGGGAGTCGAGGCATAGATGGAAGCCTGACTGAACTGATGCAAGAGTATGTCTTGATATACATGTCCAGTCACATGAGGCAATTTTTGGTATGTTCCCTGGGACACGCTTTGCGAGCCACCCTCTGGCCGCTCGTTTGCAACCACACCAATCCACATGTCCACATGAGATGATTGGGACCACGAAAAATAAATCGGCTCTTGCCTGCGATGTGTACATTGATCTATGTTGTTTTCCGTGAGATATAGCACCTCTCTGCATCAGAGGCATGGAGCGCACAGCGATTAGCCAGGGCTGGAATGCCATGATGGATGAAAGCTACCTCAACATTACGATGAGGCCAGAGGGGAGTGTCTAGTCGAAGGGATGAAACAGGCACACACACACAGACACGTGACTGACAGACACAGACAGACAGACAGACAGACAGACAGACAGACAGACAGACAGACAGACAGACAGACAGACAGACAGACAGACAGACAGACAGACAGACAGACAGACAGACATACAGACAGACAGACAGAAACCCACCACAAACACACAACACACACACACACACACACACACACACAACCACACACACACACACACACACACACACACACCACACACACACACACACACACACGCACACACACACACACCACACACACACACGCACACACCACGCACACACACAGCACACACACACACAACGCACACACACGCAACACACACGCACACACACGCAACACACACGCAACACACACGCAACACACACACACACACACACAACACACACACACACACACACACACACACACACACACAACACACAAACAACACACACACACACACAACACACAGACAACACACACAACACACACACACACACACACAACAAACACACACAACACAACCCACCACACACACACACACACACAACACACACACACACACACACACAACACACACACAAACACACACACACACAACACACACACCACACACACACACACACACACCACCACACACACCCACACACACAACACACACACACACACACACACACACACACACACACACACACACACACACAACACACACACACACACACACACACACACACACACACACACAACACACACACACACACACACACACACACACAACACACACACACACACACACACACACACACACACACACACACACACAACACACAACACACACACACACACACACACACACACACACACACACACACACACACACACACACACACACACACACACACACACACACACACACACACACACACACACACACACACACACACACACACACACACACACACACACACACACACACGCGCGCGCGCGCAGATGAAGGACAAGTACTCCGCCTCAACTGCTGCCTCAAATTGCCGAGCTCTGCAATCCTTTGGTGTAGTTAGTGTAGTTAGCCATGGAGTCCCGTCCCGTTGGTTCGGACCGCTGTGTTGCAGCGATGATGGTGATGATGACGGTGACGATGATGATGAAGATGAAGCACCCTCGAGCAGACGAATGAAGATAGATGTCACCCTCCTGGCAGGCAGAGTTTTTCAGCTTTCCGCAAGTTGCTTGGCCTCATTGCAGAAGAGCCCGGGTGTCTTCAAGTTCGATTTGCCGAAACAAAACAGGCATGCAGCTCTGCAGGGCCCCGATTTGCACAGGAACCGGGAAGTGGTTGCAGAATTCAGTGGCTGCCGAGGTTCATGGTCTCACCGGAGGCACGCATTCAGTTTGTGAGCTCCCAGCGCTTCAAAGCTTCTGGGCGGCAGCGATTGAATCAGGATGGGCATCCCATGTGTCGGTTCCTATGCCAGGTTCCGATAGCCAGGGTCTTGTGGGCCAGATTACGGGAAATCAGCGACCCCGGCCCGACCTGTGAAATTAAAGCTTGTACCGACCCGAACCGACCCATGGCTCCTTCATATTCGAGATGATTGTTATTCATCATTATGTATTATCAAGACCCCACTTTTAAACTCGAGATTGAACCAAGAAACGAGACGTACGATCTCTAACTAGTCATAAATAGCTTCCATACCGGTTTAGGGGCGGCAAAAATAGTTTGAAACGGAAGTTGTCTCTCAAGGTTAGAGGCGGTTGGCGTCCTCGGGGAGGGTTCATGAGTCCAAAAGCACAGATTGAACGGACAGAAGACCGCGGAATTCGGAGTCTGAAGAGAGTTCCGCACCTCAACTTGAATTCAGTAGTCATCAGTAGTCACTAGCAAGTTCCAACGAAACTTCGAGCACCCATCTTGAAAATGTAAGCAAAAGCCGGACCAAGGAACTCTCGGAGATCCTCCCTTTGGAAAAGAAAGGTGCCAGTGGTCGAGCCCTCATGGGGCGTTTTGAATCACAGTGCTGTCCTTACAAGACCTAAACCCGAAAGTACGATCTTGTTATCTTGCACGCCGTGGCCTAGGAGTGCCCGACGGCAAGCCGAACATCCAGGTCGACCTCTTGACTGACGTTCGGTGCCCCTTCTCGCCCTTCCGGCTGATTAGTTGTGACTGCAATTTCTTCCGTCTCTTGGCCATATCGGCAACCGCCGAGAACGTGACACTTTGCTTGCCCCATCCGTTCCTGCTTTCGATTGCGTTAAGGCTCCGCTCTGAAGCCGCAGTAGAACCAACAGAGTTGACAGCATGTGGCATGTCTTGGGTCTGCAAAACTGCCAGCTCATGTGCTAGTACTGCATCGCTGCATCGCTATTACTCTGCCTTTCACCTGCCCAGGTTCATCAGCCAGACGAACTTGGAGAAGGCAATCCACAACTCGGCGATGCCGCTTGGCACTGTTTCAGGGTTCAACCAGAGCTCCGAAGCTTTTCTACCTCTACAGGTGCTTAGCCGGTGTTTATCACAAGATGTGTGTGCTTGATCTTGTTTGAGGTCTTTCTGTCTCGAACTCCTTTCCCCATTTCGTAGTGAAAGCCAGAGTTCTGAATCCTCTGAATCTATTTGTATGCCTCTTTCCTCTAGTTCTGGCCAGCGCCCAAGCAACGCGTCAATCCATGCACATCGCATGTTGTACACCTCAACATGGACCCATACTGTAAATCCTGGCTAACACATCACCGCGCCAGGCAGGAACACGTCAAGATTCGATTTCACCCTGTTTTTCTCAACCCCAACGTCTCCAAGGACGACATGAGAAGCGGGAACATAGTGTGCAGAGTGCTCGAAGTTTGCACAGGGGTGTGCGTTGCAGATCAGCACATCCGGTGTGCGGAACAGAACCTGCATCGTGATTTGGCATTGACCCTCTCGCATTTGAGCTGCAGGAGGGCGAGAGCCTAGATGATTATCTTTGGCGAGAATTTGGGTACACCAAGGACTGTCCAAGCGGACGTCTTCACCCCCTGATGTTCTGATATTGGCATGTGATGCATCCTTTCAGCAACATCCGCAGCAATGCCTGTCCACATCTGCCCAGGAGTATGCACACTCTGAAGATTACCCACTGCGTAAAGCTGGGCTCAAGGCAGGCATTGCAGCCTGGCTCTGATTTGGCCAATCTGTTTAGATCTGTTGAGTGGCCCAGATCATGTTGGGGACAGCTGGAGGGTCTGAGTGTCAAGGAATTGAACCCGAACCGCCGTGTGGTGAACACCTTCGATGCTCATTGCCTCATCCACGCGGCTCAGGCTCGGCCATAACCATTGCTCCACAACCAGAGAAGCAACTCCCTGTACAAAACGGGACCATTCGAAGGTGCAAGGCAAGCAGGAAGAACTAGAGCGGACGTTGTCACGATGGTATTTCGAGGAGGCCAAGGAGACGGGCTGCTTGCCAAACAGTTCCACGATGCGTGGGTTCTGGCTTTCTGCTTTTAAAGTTCAAGCGGAAGCAACGAAGCGCAACGAAGCGCACAATGCATAGCTACTCAAAGCAACGTCAAGAAAGTGTCGTTGCGGAATCGAATCGTGTTCACATGTGTCAACGCCGAAGGTCTGGCGCGCTTTGAAACTCAAAGCCCGGCATGAAGCACCCTAAACTTCCGAATCCTAAACCATCCCGAAGCCTTAGATCAAAAGCTTAAACGTTGCGCGTCTCGGGTCCCCAGTAACTCAGTCCCATGTTCTCACGAGCTAGGCTCGCAAAGGTCGCTGTTTGCAGCTTCCCTAAGCCTCGGACAGTGCGTCCGCCACAGCTGCAGTCCCCCTCTACCCAAATAGGCCAAAAACCGAGAAAAAGTTGGTGCACCTCAAGCACTGGCAATCCGTACTATTTTTTCACATAGAACTCACAGTTTTCAGGTGCAATTCCAAACAATGCCGAACGACATTGGTGTCGCATGTCACATGCCCGCAATGCATGCTGATCAGCGACAGCATCTATACCAATCAGTAGCACTTGGGGAAGCATGTTCCAAGTCAATCTAAATCAGGTCGTGCTGCATCATGATAGATACGAGCCCATAACTCCCGCCAAGCCTTGACTTTGACTTTTCCTCTAGTTTTAGCCAAACGCGCGTTGCAGCACTTCCGCTTGGGCGTTGTTTCTGCATGCCTCGCAAACAGGCATGCCTAGGGAGCACAGCTCAGAGCCGTCTGCGAGCGCGCCGGGACCAGATCCACGTACCTGAGTGCACAGCGCTCGTAATTAATTAGGCGACTATAAAGCATGTGACTTGACATGAGTTTTGTAGGTGTCGTAAACGTATCAAGAACTGTTTGTTAAAATCAGCAAAGTGTACGGCTTTTGCCTGTGCAGACGTAGCAAAATCGTTCAAATTTGTTAAGTTTCCTGAAGGCCCTTATAGGCTTTGGGCCGGTGCACTATGGCCACCACACGTGCAGCAACTAGACTATCTTCCTATATAATCCGTGCCCGCGAGCAAGCCCAGGCAAACTTTTTAAGTTTTTACGTGCGAGGAATCAAAGACCAAGTCCAGAACAGAGGCACAGCGTGGCATGCATTGATTGCCAATCATTGAGCATAGCTACGGCTATGTCAGCGAACTGGCATCCAACTGCATCACCCCAAGCACTTGGGCATGCTGCAACCCTTAACAGTAAGGACTGTTGCGGTGAGTATAAAACCGCAGCAACGGCCCTTTCTGCAGGCTCCCGTTTTGTCTTTCTTGCCCCTACTGAAACTCACGTGACTAATTACTACAATGTGACTTTTGCTTGACAGGAGGCTCAGGCTCTGGCCTGACAATAAGTCCAGGCTCGCAGGATGATCGCAACATCAGCCAAGCAGCATTAATTAACAGTGGGCCAACACACCAAACCCGCCAAAATTTGTGTAGAGTGCGTTTTTCTCTAATGCTTTCAGTTGATTGGGGACTGAGACACCCTATCAAATCGTGCATGGCGCTATTCCCACATGTCGGGATGGCGTTGCAAACCTGAAACCCTGGCTCGCCTTTTCTTTCATGTTGACATTTCAAGTTTATGTTCTGCTGCGCTGCGCTCCACCCACTCGTTGAGTCCCTTCACAAGCGCTGCTGGGGAAAAGGGGGGGAACCTTCTAGCCACGGGTCCTTTGTCATAGCACAACTAGCACACATGTCGGGTTTTTGCCTCAGCAGAAAAAAGCCGCTTAGATTCCCAGGCCACCTCGTAAACGCTGTAGTCAGAGAATGGTACCTCTGCCATACGGAATCCTGACGGGGGCATGTGGGTGGCGCTTGAACCTAAAAGCCCCAGCAGTATAAATCTGTGCCATGTAATGTCTTCGCAAAATTGTGTACTAAGATCAAAGCAACGTTGAAAAGCTTGCGAATAAGACATGCAAAGGTGCAGCTGCACCTTCAAGCCGGCCCGGGCCGAAAATCCACAAAGCGTGTTTGCGCATATAGTACGCATAAGGCTCAGGGTCGAGACTGAGGGGGTTTCGGGCTGAGCGCTTGGGGATTGCGGTCGAACAGCGGGATTTTTGGTGATATTTGGGCTCCCCAATGAACAGCTTCCAAAAGCTACTATGACAAAAGAGGCTGGGGCTGCATAGGCAAAGATATTCTCAAGCTGTTGTATGGATGTTGTATGATGTTGTGATGTCGAGAGCGGCAAACCTGCTTCGGGTTTTTGAGTGGGTTGGGGATCGTGTCGAACTTTTGGACTAAACAGCGACAGCCTTGACGCAGAGGTGCCTCGTAATGTTAACTTTCGGATGCTAGTCATCGCTTGACACAGCAACTTGTTATGTTCAGTGGACCTGTGTTGAAAATGAGAGCACAGGATCTCGAATCCTGTCTAATCCGGTGTACACGTGGTGTCACCTCAGAATACGTGCAAGCCCAGAACCACGATCGTGCAGGAGTTTGGAGGGTCGAACTACCTTTCATTAGTTCATGAGTTTCATGAGGACATCTCGGATGCCGATGTCCTCGCTTCGGCTGCTGCAGCGTGCGGCGTCGGCGCCACAGCTCTTCTGTGTCATTCTGTTTTCATGCAGGTCGGCCAAATGCGAAGCGGTCGTTGTGATAGAAGACTGTCTTCCACTAGATGTTCGATAAGTATTCTGTTGTTTAGAAGCTTATGAGTAGAAACTGCACCATAGGCAGAGTCTACCTCGCTGTAAAGTCATTGCTTTGGCTGGGGAGGGTTGACGCGTCAAAGCCGGATGGTTGTTGTTTGTTTTCTTGTGCGGTGTGGTGCGCCCCAACGAGCGAGATTTTGGAGCGTGAGACAACTGTACAAGCTGGTGGGAGTAAAAAAAATCGTGTTGACAAGGAAGCCCCTGCTGGTGCTGCAAGCCCTTGTTGCAAGGACAACCTAGCACAATGCCAGTTTCAATAAAGAGACATGTCATACTCGCCGGTACAAGTCCCCCAGCAGTGTTCCCCGTGTGGCTGAATCTCGCTCCTGTGATGCGGAGGATACGAAGCAGTCCACGCTTCTATCCCCGTGTCCCATCCCACTCTGGAGCCCCGAGGTCAAAGTCGCGCTCGCCACGGCGCCAGAAACGAAGGCAGCCGTGCAGCAGCGATACCAGGACGTTTCCTTCTGCAAGCTTGGGCCATGCGTGACCCGCGTGACAAGTGGCAGAAGCGAATGAAGCCTGCGACTTCCAGGAATTGTCGGCCATGCTTGGAGAAGTGCCACACTTCGTGCTTCGGGAACAGGCGTTGGCTGCGCTTTTTGACAAGCTGTGGAACAGCGATCGAATGTTTGCCTTGTGCAGATCTCTGGGAATGGAGTGGAAATCAGTGGCTTGAAGAGTGTGGAGGAATGGGAAGAGGCCCTGAGCTTGGGATTTTTGTGACATGCTCGCTTTTTCCAAAGCCACTGCTAGAAGCCGGGTTTGCAGCTATATGCGCAGGTCTTAAGTCCAGTCCGCTACCATGAGCCTAGAATGCTAAGGTATATTGAACTAGGGTACCTGCGTGATTCAGACACTGGACGCCGTTCAGGAAACCGGGGTTCAGAACCCAGGCGATTCAGGAAACTGCCGATTCGGAAACCGCGGTTCAGGAAACCATGCGATTCATGAAGTTGAAAGCACGCGACTCAGGAAACCATGCGTTTCGGGAAACTGCAAACTCGCGATTCAGGAGCCACACGCTTCAGCAAACCATACGATTCAGGAAACCCCACGATTCATGAAAACCTGCGATTCAGGAAGCCGCGCGAGTCAGGAAACGCGGTTCAGGAAACCAGGCCAGGAAACCATTCGCAAAACTAGTCGATTCCGGGATCCACCCGGTTCAAATTCAACTGCAAGGGCCGCGACGGGGGTGCCCCGCGGCAATTTGGTGTGGGGGGCGGTAGGGGGTGGGGGACGGTGGGCGGTAGGGCGGTGGGGGGGGTGGGTGGGGGGATGGCTCGTGGTGTTAGGAATGTTGATCAGATCAGCATTGCATCCACAGTGATGCATGAGGCATTGCTATGACTTGTTGACTTTGGCTCAAGGTGCAAAACATTGGAAACTCAAGTGATTGAAGCACAGCTTGCTTTGGTGCTTGTGATTGTTGAGCTGAGTGATTGCAGACCTGAGATCACACTGAACATTGATCTTATTGTAAAATTTCATGGTAGCGGAGCTTTGGGCGAAGCCCAGGGCATCCGACTAGAAATTGTTCTAGATCAGTATGGCATTGATTGCTGCAGCTAGGAAGTCCAAGGCTCCAGCATTGAAGTCGACAGCTCGTCCAAAAGGAGCCCCAAAAGCTAAATCTTTAGTCAAGCTTGCATTGAAGCCTAAAGACACACCCCATCCCGAAAATGCCCCATCATTGCCTTCAAAGAAGTCGTTTAAGCACATGGACTATTGGACCATTGACGAAGCAAAGTGTGTGTGTGTGTGTGTTGATTCGACACCATGTCAAGCCTCGTCTTGGATTGTTCGTGCTAAATCGCATTCATGAAGCACCTCCGGTCGATGAATCGCGATTGACTGGCCGACGCGTCGCACGCGTAAAGTTCAAAGATGGTACGGCTAGGGAGTACATTGACATTGATGAAGATTTCCGCATTGCGAAGGATCCCGTGATGAGATTGCAAGCGGAATGGACAGGCGCCACTGAGTTTTCGCTGAAGGCATTGCCGAAACGATTGCGTGCGCGCCCGTCGGACCCTCCCGACCCACCCATCGAGACGCGTGTTCAGAGCCGAGGGACCCACGCGCATTGAAACACAGATGGAGGACACTGAGGCAACCGTTTTGCGCCGGCTACGATCTGTAGGCGAGTTTAACTCGAAAATGCACGAGGATCTATTGCGGCTCTTTCACGCGCCAGATTTAGCGACAGGCGCTCGGCGTACTACCGACTATTGGCTTCAGTTACCTAACTATTGGGTTCGCATGACTCACGCGAAGCGTACGTGTACCGTTCATCCGGATGACGAACCATCGCCGATTGCTGAGCGCAGCATTGGTGATTTGCATACTGCTGAGAGGTGCACGTACATTGTTGAGTCCCAATTCCCCGACTTGAATGGAGCTGAAGTAGAAGACTTGTCATTGCACGAGCTTACTCATCTCCCGTTTCGAGATTGGTGTCCTCATTGTGTCAAGTCGAAGGGTCGACGTGGTCCTGCTAAGAAGCAATCCGATAGGCAGCCTGTCATTCAGGTGGACTCTTGTTTCCATGCTACGAGCGCTGAGCTACCGTTGCGAAAAATCCTGTCAGCGTGTGACATTCAGACTGGATTGGGCATGGCTGTAGTTGTTGCATCTAAAGGTGAAAATGACTATGCTATTGCCGAATTGAAGAAGTTCATCTATGAATGTGGTCGCACATTTGGCATTCTTCAGTATGATCAAGAGAGTCCATTGAAAGCTGTCTGCCAACGAGTGTGTGCTGAATTAGGTGGACTCAGTATTCGTGCAGCCCCGAAAGCACGTTCGCAGTCTATGGGATCGATAGGCCAAATGCAACGAACATTGTATGGTCAGGTCCGCGCACTTTTGTCCCAAGCAGAGCAGCGCTTGAAGATTGAGATTGACTCAAACCATGCATTGTATCCATGGGCATTAAAACATGCTCAATGGCTATTGAACCGTTGCCTAGTGCATTCGGATGGTCGCCACTTCGTATTTTCGCCAGTGGAATAGAAATTATGAAGGTGGATTGTGTCAGTTTGGCGAAACTGTTCAGGCCAAGGTCATTGGCAGATCTGGTGGTAGAAAAGCTGATTTGCCTTGGAAGTCGGCATTGTGGTTAGGCAGAGACACAGAAGCTGATGAGATCATTGCTGCAACAGATGGAGGAGCATTGAAAGTTCGCACAGTCCGAATCGTGTCATAGGCTTGAGAGCATTGCCCTGGAAACCGAAAGCTGATGAAGATCAGACTGTTGAGTTTGTGTTGCCTGCTAACTTGATGGTCGCTGGTAGGGCCAGGAATCCACCTGGTTTACCAGAACCTGGATTGATGGAGCCAAAATCAGCAAAGGGTGATGCCCCTGACCCTCTGCTCACATTGGAAGACTTGCCCAAACCTGATGCTAACACCTCTGTTGCGACTCCCGCGTTGCCATCAAGTGTTGTCAGGCACGCAGAGACTTCAGATGAGAGTGCGCCGAAATTTCAACGAATTGACCCCGACGCCCCAGTGGCGGAGCCTTCCCCAAAGGCTCAGCTATTGCTGCTGTTTTTCAGTACATTTGTGCTCAGGTAGGAGTAGCTCAAGCCATGACAAAGACTGGCGGAACTGTTCCTGTGCATGTCAATTATGATCAAGAAGAGTACAGAGAAGAACTGAAACTCTCGGAGCCTGTGATTTGGGATATCACGAAAGAATATCCTGAATTGGCGCAAAAGAAGGGCATGGATAAGGAAATGGGCTCCATGAAGGATTTCTCAATCTACACCGAAGTCCCCATCGAAGAATGCACCGAAGAGCACATCCGAAATGCCATTGGTGTTCGTTGGGTGAAGCGTTGGAAGACTGATACGGAATTGCGCGCGAGATTGGTAGTTCAAGGTTGTTACCAAGATTCTGCAAAGCTTGATGCTGACTCATTGTTTGCTAGCGCACCGTCGCTGGTGACGATGAGACTTCTGTTGGTGATGGCATTGGCGCGCAATTGGTGTATCAACCTGGCAGACATCTCAACTGCCTCCCTTCATGCCGCCATTGGTGCGGATGAGGAAGTTTTCGTGATTCCTCCTAAGGAGTACTATCCGACACAGAAGTGCCTTTGGAGATTGAACCGTGCGATGTACGGCCTAAAACAAAGCCCGAAATTGTGGCAGGAACATTTCGCTAAAACTATGCGCAAGCTAGGGCTCCGCAGGTGTAAGTCAGACAGCAACTTGTATTGCCACTCTTCTCGTGAGCTGTGTGCGTTGGCCTACGTAGATGACTTGATGATTGTTGGTGAGACCCAACAGGCTAAAGCACTCATTGAGGCCCTTAACCAAGAACTCCTTGTCACAATCGCCGGAACATTGGAAGAAGGGACCGAGCATTCCTTCTTGGGCCGTCGATTGCGACACAATGGTGATTCCATCGACGTATTCATGACGCAAAGCTGGCGCATTGGGCCCGACAGGGATACCTGATGCAGCACTTGCAGAACCCGGTGAGGTTATTGTTCGTGCGTCCAACATTGGACAGCTTGCTTCCGGCATTGAAGTCTACCGACATGAAGGGAGGTTACCGCAAGTGGCGCAACCAGTCCTACATCTGTGCCACGACTGCGATGATTGACAGCGATCAGATCGCATTGTCGCAGGGGCAACCCCACAAGACAGGCTGAATCTCGCTGCGCCTGTGCCAGTGCTGCGTCCCATTGGCAGTCCGCCGCGCTTTTCGTGGCACCGTGATGCTTGTCGATGAGAATATGGAGGAAGTCGGTCCGAACACGATTGATATTTACAAGCCAGATGCTGAGCAGAAGCCTGCGTTGCCACCCTCGGACTCGGCAACCATTGTCATTCCTCCTGGATGCAAGGTGTCCATTGAGATGCAGTGAGTTGCATCACAGCCATTGGCTGCAAATTGGCTTGCGAAAGGGCTGTCATCATTTGACTTGATACCGATGGAGATCGATTCTCCGGGATGACGCAAGTCATTGGTTGAAGAAGCCTTGTACAGTTCGCTATGCTGAGTCTGGATTGCATTCTCGGATCTCGAGCGTCTGAAGCAAAAGGACCATTGAGCCTCCATAGTGGTCTGAGTGAATGCGTGCCTCTAATTGGTAGTTTCGTTTGACTTTCGCATCTTCCCTCGTTCGACAACTCGATTGTTTTTACTCCATATGGCTCGATTCAGTACAGATTTGATCCAGATGTGGCACAGCAAGAACTGCTGAGCCAAGGGACCGTGTTCGGAATGTTGATCAGATCAGCATTGCGTCCACATTGATGCATGAGGCATTGCTATGACTTGTTGACGTTGGCTCAAGGTGCAAAACATTGGAGAATCAAGTGATTGATGCACAGCTTGCTTTGGTGCTTGTGATTGTTGAGCTGAGTGATTGCAGACCTGAGATCACACTGATCATTGATCTTGTAAAATTTCACGGGGGGGGGGGGGGGGGTTTGGGTGGGGTGGGAGGGGGGGCGGTGGGGGGCGGTGTGGGGGGCGGTGGGGGGCGGTGGGGGGCGGTGTGGGGGGCGGTGTGGGGGGCGGTCGGGGGCGGTGGGGGGCGGGGGGGGGGCGGGGCGGGGGCCGGTGGGTTGGGGGGCATGTCAGCTGCTGTCAAAATTGTTGCGATTCAAGGCTTGCTCCCTGCAGGCGACTTTGCCATTCAGGCAACTGGTCCCCGCCCAGTTTCACGGGTTTTTGAATCTGCGCCAGTTTCCCGAATCATGATAAAAATCCGCGCGTTCCATCGGCGGTTTCCGAATCCGCACGTTCCAGTTTGCTGAATGAGCGGTTTCCGAATCCATGGTCCTGAATCCCCGGTTTCCGAATCAGCGTTTTCCGGTTTTCTGAATCAGCGGGTTTCGCGAACCCTGGTTTCCCAAATCCGCGCTTTCGGTTTGCCAGAGTACATGCAAGGATGTTTAGTGTAGCCCTGCTTGGGGAGCAGAGCAGCCTCAGGTCCTGAAGCAAGTGGTGGAACGCGGCCAGTTCGTGGGCGTCACGATCGATGGGCCGCATGGAACGAAGGCCGGGAAACTTGTCAGTCGGTCGGGTCAAGGTTGCGCATCGACTAATCCCATCACCTCGATGATCGAGGGTATGTGATGGTATCATCACCTTCCGTAAAAACACATGACCACGGCATGACCACGGCATGACTGCCCAGCCTCCATGCCTAGGCAGGCAAGACTGTCGCTGCAGGGGTCAGCGGGCATTGTGTTTGTAATGCCCAAAATCTTGTTAGGCGTTTTGTTGTCCCAATTTTTCAGTCACAGTACGCGCCTGTGTTCCCGAAGATGCAACGCGACAGGGAATTAGGAGTGTCCTGCAACGCTGCCAGGCTGCAGTAGAACTGCCAGTTGTTTGCTACGCTCTTTAGAGTAGTTCGAAGAAGAGTCAGGCGCGGAACAAGAATTTTCAAGACCAGTCACAGCCTTCTCCGATGGCACAGGTGCGCCTGGATGAGGCGAACCCCTTCGCTGCAGTGAGTCATGCCACGAATGCGCAGAGCCTTGGATGCAAAGGGGTAAGTGGCATCTCGGCTCCTTTCGGCTTTTTTTGGGTGATGTTTACTTCGAGCTACTTGCTCCCAAATTCGTGGTCCATGAGCGGCCCGAAAGATTCCAGAATCCCATTCTTCTCACCATCTGACCTGATTTTGCACTCGAGGCACGGATGGATGCCGGGTGAGTGGCCCTATCAGGCTGGATTTTGCGGTTGCTTCTTGGAAGCTTCGCTGATGCGAGAAGTGTTGTTTGACATGAAGACGCCTTTACAAGGATGCCCAAGAAACCCAGCGATGTTGCACCTTCGTCAGCGCGATCCCACCCTGAAGAGTCGAATGATTGTTGAATGGGGATGAGCGAAAACTGTAGGGACAGAGAGGCCCGGCAATTGAGTTTAAAGCGCGCCGGGCGAAATATTCTTCCGATATTGCTTTAGTACGGGCCCACCGGTCACCCCCAAACAGTCACACGGTCATGAATAGCTCGGCAAACTCGACTGAACTCAGGACGCCCCTATTAAACAGGAGCATGAGCTCACCCGCCTTCAAAATGCCAAGCCCTCATCCCGCAAGTATCCCAGATTTTTCATAGGAGTTGAGGAGTTGGATACATTAAGGCACGGGCCAATAATGCATCGGCATTTGGATGTATTTTGGTTTTGGCAAGAGCCAGTTGTTCGAATGCATTTAGCCAGGATCCAAGAATGCTTCTGGATATGTTCCTCTTCACTATCGAACGTTCGCATGCCGCAGGTTCCTTTCATATCCACTTCCGAACGCTTCCAGCATGAAATTGGCAGGCCGAAGATTTCACTCGCATGGATGAGAGCTTGGTGCTGAGACGCGACCAGGGCTTGCACGGGTTGCTTCAGAAACACGGCAACGGCTTGAAACTAAATTCTGTTCTAAAACGTTGCATCCATCGATGGGGTGTCTGATCACGCGAAGAGCACAGTTTTAATTTTCCGAAACGCCTCGCAGAATTCCTGTGGCTCAGGTCTGGACACGGTGATGTATGCCGAGCCCCGATTAGTGGAACACCTCGATGACACCTCGCTGGAGCTCGGGTCATAGGGTTGGCATTGGGATGCAGAGTCGGAGTCAAGAACTTTCCTTTACCGCAACGTCGAGCAGCAGACGTCATTCCCCGCTGTGTTGCAGGAGCGGCTGCAGGGTGTCTACGACGCAGTCTTCCAGGCGGAGACGACTCGTCCAACAAGTGTCCAATTGGGCTCTATCGCTCTCCTTTCGTCCCAAGGGACGGTCCAACAATGTGCAACAGATGCAAAGCAGGCTGAACTTCGAATCGCTTGAAGGATGCATAACAAATCGGACAAAACCCTGAGTATGTTCATCTCCTCGGCCGAATCGAAGCTTGAAGTTTATGGCCCCCAGCTTACGAGACCTTATCCACTTATCCAGATGCAATCAGGCTTGCCCCGAGGGCTTCTCAGTGTTGGACTTGCCCGGGCCCAAAGAGCGCCAGCTTGGAGTGTGGCCAGTGCGGACTTGGCTCACGTTTTGTCAGAAAACTGGTGATTCCCACAAAGCGTCACTGTTTCTCTGCCCCTACACAAGCCCCGCAATCAGCAACGAGGTGCTCCAGCTGGAACTCACACTATCCGGAGGAGGCTCTGCGCAGCTGGGCTGCAAAACATGTGGGTCATCAGGTTATGTCCGGTCAGCGGTCGAACCGTCAGTTTATCGTCGTGTTCCTGCAGCACTAACCCTATCTGCTAAACATGACCCTGAGCGTGAATCAGAATTTTTTGCTCCAAAACTATGCTCTGCCCTGCCTCCTTGACACGCCAGCTTGTCATTCCCAATATGTCCCAGCAAAGCAACCACGTGTAAATCAAGACATTCGCACGAGTGAAGACACTTGAGAGGAGTTGAAGCTGTTGATTCCTTCTGATTGCTCTACGCTGCTCTACGCTGCTCTGTGGTAGCTAGGTAGAGTCCATGTGATCAGTGATCAGGGGTACCCGACCAAGCTGTGGTGCGGCGTCACATCCTCCAGACGCTTTCAAGACAGCAAGTTAGATCAAATCAGCCACTATTAGGCCCTAAAAGCCGACCCAACAATGGTCATCATGGAGCTATCTGGAGCGGACGCTTGCACCATAGCATGGGCATCATCGTGGGCGAAATTGGCCGGACGTGGACAGGGTCGGATGGGGGGGGTTCTCATTTGGGGAAAGGACGTGTTCATAATGCTCACGCGTGGGTGTCGGCGAACGGCATGCTCATGAGCGAGCCAAGTGCGGGTCCGAAAGCCCCAAGAGACACAACTGGACGTTTGCAACATGAGCCGAGCACAGCAAATCCAAAATGAGCGAACCACTTTGTTCTTCCTCGGCTTGGGGGCGGTGAGGCGAGGGTTTGGTCGGTTGGATGCCAGCCTGGGGGACATCCAAATCTTGAGTGGTCTGAGCAACAAAAGTAGGCTCGCAAAAGGAAAATTCACCTCACTCCTGATGGGCAAGCAGTTTTCACAGCTTTTGAGGTTTGGGCGTTGGCAGGGCAAGGTCCCCCTTAATGCAGTGTATGCCCCAGCTCTTGCAGTTCGCCCACAGTTGTGTGTCCACTCCCTGCATGCTGATTTCCAGTGGCCTTTGGAGATGGGCCGACTGAATGTCAAACAAAGAAGCTTTGTGGGGAAGTGATGCTCAGTGATGCTCACACCGTGTGAGGCCACCTCTCCGCAATGCTCCGCACGGACGGCTTCGTAAAAGCGCATCACAAGGATGCAGTCTCGTGAGGCCTCCCTGCCATGCTCCGCAAGTTCGCTCGCCGTGCTGGACAACCGGACCTCGCGCTTTCAGTGTGCTGCTGCACGATGTTGGCTCCAGGGGTGCCCTGGCCTGGCACTTTTACTGCGCCATCGCTTCCTGCGAAGCGTGCTGCTGCTTGCTGCGCGATGTTGGTTCCTGGTTTGCTCCTTGGGTGTGGCGCAAGTGCGCCTCTGCATTGCTTTTTCGCTGAGAGCGGTACTTTGCTGGTCCTGGCATTTTGAGCACACCTTGTTGCCGCTTGCAGCTCACTTTTTTGCTGCTGAACAGTGCTCTGTTGCGCAGCTGATTCCGTGGTGGGTTATCTAGAATGATGATGTTCGCACCTTCGGTGTGGGTCGCTGTGGCGCCTCAGCGGTCTTTCGCTCCCCTCCCGCGCAGGAGCACAGCCGCGTATCCTGAACCCCAGACCGGGTCGAACATCCTTGCTTCCGCGTTGGCGCTGCATTTTGAGTCGCTCTGAGCTGCACCATGCCGCCTCCCCACGCTCCCTTTTCGGTCACCCGTGCCAGCAGCTTGAGCTCCAAGCGGAGGGGACGATGACGGTTTCGGAGTCCGCTGCGAAGCCGGGGAGGGATAGCGATGGAGGGCCTTTTTTTTGGTACTTTTTTTCTTTTAGTTTTGGTATTTTCTTTTTTCGTGGTCCCCTGGTCTCCTGGTCTCCTGGCCCCCTGGTCTGCTGGTCCCCTGGTCTGTTGGTCTCCCGGTCTGCTGGTCTGCTGGTCGCCTGCTCCCCTGGTCTGCTACCCCCCCGCTTCTTCAAGCCGTGCGAGCTTTGTGCAAAGCAGATGATCGATTAAAACCCATCAGGCCACTTTTTGCAAAGCATAATATGAACGATTGAAGCCATTGATGCGAGCATTGTGTTTGCAAATGGGGGGCTGCGCCGCCCCCAACCTCCCTGCCTTTTTTAGCCGTGGGAAGCAAATTTCAAAGCATATGAACGATTGAAAGCCATCATGCGAGCATTGTGTTTGCAAATGGGGGGGGGGGGTGCTGCGCGCCCCCCCAACCCTCCCCGCTTCTTTAAGCCGTGCAAGCTTTTTTCAAAGCAGCTGAAGGATTGAAACCCATCAGGTCACTTTTTCTAAGCAGATGAACGATCGAAACTCATGACGCAAGCATTGTGTTTGCTGATGGGGGGGGGGGGTGCGCCCCCCCCCCAACCCCCCCGCTTCTTTAAGCCGTGCAAGCCGCTTGTCTCAAAGCATATTAACGATTGAAAGCCATCATGCGAGCATTGTGTTTGCAATTGGGGGGGGGGGGCTGCGCCCCCCCGCAACCCTCCCCGCTTCTTGAAGCCGTGCAAGCTTTTTTCAAAGCATATGCAGGATTGCAACCCATCATGCCACTTTTTTCTACGCATATGAACGATCGAAACCCATGACACTAGCATTGTGTTTGCAAATGGGGGGGCTGCGCCCCCCCCAACCCCCCCGCTTCTTTAAGCCGTGCAAGCCCTTTTCACAGCACATGAACGATAAAAACCCATCAGGCCACTTGTTTCAAAGCATATGAACGATTGAAACCCATGATGCGAGCATTGGGTTTGCAAATGGGGGGGAGGGGGGGGGGCTGCGCCCCCCCCCCCCCCCCCCCAACACCCCCGCCTTTTTTAGTGATGCAATCTTGTTTCAAAGCACATCAACGATTGAAAGTCATCATACGAGCATTGTGTTTGCAAATGGGGGGTCTGCGCCCCCCCCCCCCCCCCAACCCCCGCTTCTTTAAGCCGTTCAAGTTCTTGTCACCCCCCTTCCGCCTGTTTTAGTACTTCAAGCTTGTTTCAAAGCATATGAACGCTCACCCCCCCCCCCCCCCCCCCCCGCTTCTGTAAGCCGTTCAAGCTTTTTTCCAAGCATACGAAAGATTGAAACCTATCATGCCTTTTTTAGCATATGAACGATTGAAGCCCATGATGCGAGCATTGTGTTTGCAAATGGGGGGGGGGGCTGCGCCCCGCCTTCGCCCCAACCCCCTCGTTTTCCAAGCTATGCAAGCTTCAAAGCATATGCGTCTTTTTGAAACCTATCATGCGAGCACTGTGTTTGCCCCCCCCCCCCCCCAAACTCCCGGCTTTTAAAAGCCGTGCAAGCTTGCGAGCAACATTTATAAGAATTCCTACGAGAAGCAGTACGAATCCTATGAAGATATGGAGGGAATGGAGGTTTTTCGTAGGAAAAACAAAGAAAATGGACCAGTTCCCATGAAAATATAGAGGGAATGGAGGTTTTTCGGAAAACGCAAGAAAATCGACCAAATCCTATGAAAATTTAAAAGGGGATGTAGCTTTTTCCTAGGAAGACCAGGGGACCAGCAGACGAGACCAGGGGACCAGGGGACCACGAAAAGAAAAGAAGTACCAAACAAAAAGGAAAAAACACCGCTGTACAGCGAGGATGCTAGCTCGAGTTACGTTGGACATCGTTCGAGATCACTTCCAGGTACGTCGACCCAGAGTAAGGGCCAAACGGCGACAAAGGGAGCTGAGGTTACGCGAGGCTACGCACGCGCGAGGACCGCTCTGAGGTTAAGCTATCGCTATCTGTAATATGCACTGCGCTACCTTTCCCCCAGTCATCCTGCCATATGTGACCGGCATATCCCATCATGTTCAGTTCTAAGGATCGGCCTCACGAGTGGCAGTGCATGGATTGAATGCAGCAGAGCTTGAGGCGAATGTCCAGGCCGGTCGCGGAGGTTCTCACATCAGTCGTCACAGACTGCCTACATGCGAAGGTAATCGAACAATAGTAAGGCAGTCAGAAATCTGCCAAAAGGTTTCATGCATGCCTGGGTACCGAGTGTCCAGCCCCCACTGCTATGTCTTCTCCAGTGAGGCGACGGAGCGCCATGTGCAGGACGCTGGGGAGCAAAAGTCGAAGAAACGTCCTGGCCGGTCGCTGTGCTTCGGTGCGGGTTTTTTTGGATCACGTGTAGTGCACCACCTCAAGGGTTCTTGCAACCTAGACAAGACTTGCCATGAAGATGTCGAGCTTCATTTCGGGTGCCCGTGCGCTCACGGTCAAGGAGCCCTGACAAGGCTTCGGTCTTTGGTGTGCCACTCTGTCATGCGGCCAGGATTTGAATTCAGAGCCTGTGCTGCCCTGGCACTCCGACACTTTCGACGTCATCACGTTGGCCCTCAGTGTACCTTGGAGATTGATTCGAAGCCTGTCGAAGTCGACATCGGCATCCGGCAATAATTACGTGGCAATATCATTGATCATGCCTACCAAAATGTCGATCTTGGCACGACTGTACGATCATGATGTCTCAAGCAGGTGCAGCAACACATGGTCACATGGTTCGGCCCGAACAATGCTGCACATTTGCTTAAGTTGTCCGCAACATAAGCCTCACGAATCTGCACCAGCCAGCAGCCTTTTATTTGTACCTGTTGCAATCGCGCTTCAGGACCTCAACATATAGCTACCCAAGCCTGTTTTCAGCATCCTTTATAAGTTAGCATCATACTAGCCTGTTCAGCTCTTACATTGCTTAGACCATGTTGGATCTTAGAAAGTTTGGCGCCAGGTCCAGTACCTGACCGATCCACGTGCTGTCTTTGAAGAGATGCACCGCGTGCTGAAGCCAGGAGGACTTGCTGTGGCCTTCCAGCTCAGAAGTTAGTAAACAGCATTCGCTTGTCTGTTTCTGAAGTCGATCTTGGAGGATGAACGTTGAGTGCAGAATGGTTCGTACAAGATTTCTTGAGGGAGATCAACTGTCAGCACCTTGTTGAAAACAATCGCAGAGCCAAGGTCACGTTCTCTCACCGTGCCTTCATTGAAAAGGCTCGGCAGACCGCTGTTTTTGTTGGCGAATTGTTGGTCTTGAGCAAGACTCTGAAGCAGCGCCCGAAAAAATAACTCCATCAAGAGGTGGATTGGGCAGGCTGACCGTAGTCCAGGTTCTCTTTGCCATCCTTTGGACCAATGTGAAACATGCTGGGCGGGGTTAACTCATGTCTTGCGCTAGAGCTTTATGGGACCAAAAACCCTTCATACTTAGCCATTTGGCAATACTAATTTTTGGGGTCTTTTGCCACGTGAGCCGACGTGGCAGTGCCATCAGAATCTTTTTGGGAGTTCTTGGGCAAGAACCTGTTATCCCTGGCGAACCACAAATGCAGGATTAAAGGATGCTTGGGAAAAACCAGACTACTTTACAGGCAACCCAAACCGGAGATCGCGGGCGTGAAGCCTGTTGCAACACGCAGGCTCATGTTTAGAGAAGGCCCAAAAGTGGGAGGCCGAAGAATTCCGATGGAGGAGGGCTAGGGTTGAAGGACAAGGGACGGGGGGTAGTGAGGATGGTGTGGGCAGGGTGAAGTGGTGGGGGGATGGGGGTGCGGGGGATTAGAGGTGGGGTACCTTTGCTGCCCAGACAGTTACGTCCCGAGGCCACGGTGGATTTCCTCACTTTCGTGCGTAAGTGAAGGAAACAATTGTATTCCAAAATACAGCTCCAACATCCTCCCATTTTGCTTATGAATAAGAGTCGCATGAATCTGTGGAAATTCCTTGCGAAGACTATTCAAAGCCACATTTAGTGAAATTTCACGCGCTTCGTTTCAGTCGCATGTGAAGGCATAAGTTTCTAGGGAAAGGAGCCCCTAAAATGCACTGAAAAGCGTGCAAGGCATGCGGAATCTGAAGGCTCTTCATGATCAAAGAAGTGTGAGTGATGAAGCAACCAAGTTGCCCAAACTCCGCGTTGGGCGCGGCCTCCAGGCATAAGCAAACGATGAGCCCGCCGTGTAAGGGGGGACGACAGCCCTTTGAGGTTCGGGGCAGATTTAAGACGATGTTTCGCTGGGTTCTGGAGGTGCCCCCCCGCTTAGGTGACACCCTGACTCCGGGGATTTGCAATAGGGAATGGCCCTAAACCCTCAAGGAGCGAGAAAAGCAACTCGACAAACCCAAAGGCACCGAAAGCACCCCCGCCCACCCTTCTTCGGGAACCCCGCACGGCAACACAAGGGAACCCCACCTCCTTGCTTCCCTCACCCCGCTCCTCAAACTCGTGCCGCTGCTATACGTCTCGCGCTTTGTCGTGCTTGGGTACTGTCCCGGCAAAAGCCTTGGCCGCCGCCACTCTAGCGTCTCTTGCTGGGTACCCACGCTTGCCCTTGGATACGTCTTCAGCCAAGTCCTGAACAGTGCTTTGCTCTACCATGGCCGCCGCCTCCCGCACCTCAGTAGCCAACACCGCTTCCGCTCTGGCCGGCCACTGTCCAGCTCCCCGTTGTCCACCTTGGCAAAAGGATCCTTCGACACGTACACAGCTCGATCTTCTCGAGCCGCTGCCCCTGTGCGCGGCGAGAGTAGCTCAGGTACGACCGGGGATCTGGCGGGGACAGAGCCTCGAGTGCTCCAGCTGGTTCTGTTCCACGGTTGGTGCAATGAATGGAAGCACAGAAACAGGTTACCGGCGCCTTTGTGTCCGTTGCTCGGTGCCATATGAGCATGCGCAAGGTTCCCGACTCGTGGCGGGGGAGGACGAAGCCGGACGGCCGAACGGCCTTCGGGGACACGCCCGCAAAATCCCGCAAACGAGGCGGGCAGAGCAAGAGCAAAACGTCCCAAGGAGACCTTGGCAAAGTGATACTAGTCGTATGTAGCATGGGTTCGTTGGCGAACATCACCTCCGTCAATGTAGTGATGATGCGTGATGTGCGGAGGCTGCGAGACGGACCGTTTCAGTTCTTCCCACCCAGCCCTCCCTCGGACCCGGCATTGCATCATACTGCATCCTCTAAGAATAAGGCCCAGCTTGGGGGAGGGGACCTGCGGTGCGTGGCTGTGCACCTAGCTTAATAATAAGAGGTGAGGGCGTACATTATATTCATTCCGTGCACCCGGTATTTTATTAGGTTGGTAAGAAACGCCCGGGACCTTTTTGCAAGCGTGTACACGGGCATACTATTATATTTATAAACGAAACTAAAAGGGAGAAAAAGGCAAATTAATTTGTAATAAACGCGAAGCCCCTTGAGAGCATGGGATTTTACTATTAAAAGCTGTTGAAAGAATACTATGAACGAATGTTGGACAAAAGAGCTCTCGTTCTAATGGGGGCCTTGGGATTGCGAAATGGCATGTCAAGAAGACTCAAGAAGGAAACCCGAGTGCACGAAATGGAAGCGAGCGAATTGCGAGCATATGGTGCGGCGCCAACATCTGACGTAGGGTATATATTTCTTGTACCCCTAGAAGGACACCCAACATATATATATATATATATACTCACCAATATAAAAGGGAACCTTATATACACTCACCAAAAGCAGTAATATACGCCCTACTTCATATAAGGAGAGATGCAGCATCATGACTCTTCCATCAGCAAAATGGACAGTAGGTTTGATACCATTCTTTGCACGAGCTTGAAGGCCGTGCGGGTTTGGGCAGCTGAGCCAGATGATGGTGAAGGTCACGCACACCTGATCAGTCAGGACCTCACAAGACGTGTTTTCAAACAGGCTGGCGCCACCGAATCCGATGCTCAATGGTATAGAGGTTGAGCTCTTGCTCTTCCGTGCAATTGTTGCATGACCATCGCACCAGATGCCCAGGCCGGTACTTTCAGTTTGGCCCTCAAGATGGCTGGGGAAAACTTTCCACAGTCGCTGCTTGGCTTCCAAGGCAGTGCCGGGCATTCCTCGCAGGGGCGAGATGAGTCACGATGTCAAAAGCAGATGGAATCTGAGTCATACGGAAGCCACAAAGAGCTACTTCTCGCGTTCGCTGGCATCATTGACATAAGCATGTAAAGCATCCTGCCCGTCACCCATAAACGTCAAAACAGAGCGTGTTGTCCCCAATGCCACAAGCCGGTTGCAAGGACGTCAGCCCGCAACACGGCGATCCAGTGTGGATTGTCGCTGCCGTGAAGCAGTAGTATCAGGCTCGGCAACATGGTCCGGGTCCATTTTCCAAATACTGGCCCGAAAGCGCCTCGGGCTCGGCAATTTTAAGGTGTCCCAAGCCTTCGTGCCGGGCCTCTAGGCGAGGCGGCCCGAAAACCTGCGAGTTACACCGTGTTTCTATGTGTTGCTCTGGGTTGGTCAGCAAAGCTTCTCTTATCAGCAGTCATCAGCAACCTACGAACCGTAATTGCGAGTAATTGCTGCTACTGGCAGCGCACATTGTGCGAATCGGAAGTCCGATCTGGGTCAAAGGGCCCCACAATCCCTGTACATTCTGCTACGCTATACTTAGTCATAGCATAGCTGCTCTCAATGAAACCTGGCCTCCAGGTGACCGTGAAGGCGGCTTGCTTAGTAAAAAACAGGCCGAGCTACTTGAGCCTCAGAGCAGCAATTGTTATCCTTGGACCCAGCAGCTTGTACTCTGTATGCATACGGTTCCGCAGAAGTGAATAAGGAAGTCGCACGCTGCAAGTTCTCATCGTGCTCCCTCAACACCCCTCCTGAAAGCAAACCCGCGCCGACACTGTTGCAAGTCAGGCGGGGGAGCTCTGCCCCATGAACTTGTATGTCTCATCCTGCAAAATGGACGGGGCGCGTGGAAAGAGAGAAAAAGGGAGAGACAGAGAGAAACGGGATGAAAGCGAATCGCAGTCCCGGACCCCAGTCCTGTCATGTTGTGAAAGTGCCTGGGGTTGTCGGTGTCGGAGATCGGAGATCTGAGTCTCTCTTGGAAGGCTTTGGGAACTGAATGTCCAGTCTGCGGGCCAAGTCTGCACCGCGAAGGGCAACTGCAAGTCAGGGAACGCCGCCTTGGCAGGCTTTACATCCGGTTACCTTCCCATTTGCCCCCTGTATCCCCCTGTTGCCCAGGGCCTGTGCCGTGGCTTCGGAACATGTCCGGGCGACCGAGGAAGAAATCAGGGTGCCGCCCCCACGGCGTTACCACCGTATAGAAGCAAGAGATATGGGCACAACTTCAACACCGCATCATAAACCGGTCGTACACTTCCATGTTGCGCATTTTTTCGTGAAGCCACCGCAATTATCTTTCGTCAACAACGCTTTCGTCATGCACAGGAATGTCGTTGTTCCAGGCATGCGCCGCAAACTAAAGCTTAAGCCAGGCCTGTCTTGAACAGATGTTTTTCTCAGACACTTTAGACTTAAGCCATCTTAAACTTCTTAAACCACCTGAAGGGTCCCAAGAACGGCTAAGCCCTTGCATCGGGCGACTTGTGTCGTTCCATAGGCAGAATTCCAGGCCGGTACTAGAGATTGGTACGATCGCTTAGGGTGACAGCCATGGGAAACACGTGCCCGTCCAGGCTGACAAGGCCAGCGGGAAGCTTCCAAGTTGCTGTGAAGGTTCACACTTAAGGGCCTTAAGGGCCTTAAGGGCGCATCCGAGGCGACATGTTTTCGTGCTTTCGTGAACCCTTGTCAAGACCACAGCCTCTCGCATGCATCGTCGAATGGTATCCTTAGGCTGGTCCGCAATCTTAAAGTAGTGACTTTTGTGAGCACAGCGACTCAAACCAGGAGATGCCCAGACCAGCCTGTGCTGTCGAAGGCGCGGGCATGTAGAACATGTTCCGGACTACTTTGGGGTTCGGCAGTGTCGACGCTTACGCTGCGGCTGCTCAGCTGGTGGCATGGGTTTCTTGCTACTTAGTGAGGGTGGCGGCTCCTCTTCCGAAGTTGAGCAGGGCAGGGAGGGAGGGCAGTGAGATGAAGCACAATCAGGGCTTAGAGCTCACAACCAGAATGTGGACACGGAATGCCCGCAGCAGCACAGGTAAGCATGCAGACGGTGAAGCAGAAAGGCTTCGTTGTGATCTTTAACGAGGCAAGCACCATTCACCTTGAATTGGATGCCCTCACCATCTGGACTCACATTGTGTCACATGCATTGTGTCTTGAGCAGTCTGTGGTTTCGTCGTTTTGGCCACCCCGGCAGCGCAAGTCCGTACAACTGAGCTCGATACCTCATTGCAGTGATGGAACAAACCACCGCTCGGAAGGTTTACAATCTCAAGGACTACGTGCGCAAGCACCCAGGTGGTGAAGACATTCTTCTCAGCGTTTTCGGCAGTGATGCCACTGTAACCTGTCCGCAGTCATCGATGCTACATTGTTTAGGCACATCATGCAGGGATCAGGGTTACCGGATCTTACATTTATGCTGATGAAAGTCGGAACAAGTTGTATGAAGTCTCACACGTGTGACATGCAGTTGAGGTAAGGTCACGGGCTCGCTTAAACAAGTTTCTGAAGTTCTCATCAGATGCCGTGTTGGTGGCTGGCAGGCTGCCGCCCCTGAGCTCTGAGCCAGAACCAGCGTACATGATTTGAACATGTGAACCGTATGCCATGTTGGCGCAGCCTTAGCTCATGCTCTGCGGCACCTCTTGGGACTTTCAATCTGGCGGACCTCCCGGTGCCTGGGAGGACTTGGACACTGGTACCAGAGGGTTTTGAACGCTGTGCGGCCATCGAGAGACAAACCAGCTTGTTCTCAAAACATTGTCTACCTCGCACAAAGTACTCCTGCACCTCGAGCAGTTCTTTCGCAAGGCCAGGAAACAGCCGGGCCTTTTCCTTCGCTCCAAGCTTTTGTCCTCTCACCCAAACCATGTTTTATTCGGCAGTTTATCTTCAAAATCCTGGGTTGCAGGTTTTCACAGCATTTTACAGCTGAGCCTACAGGAGATATAAAGGAAATAAACGAACCGCAACTCGAGGGAGGATTTGAGCCCCGGCCGTGTCCTCTTGTCGGTCTGACCTGGGAGTGAGTTTTTTTTCAGGGCTTGTAACAGGCGCCGGGGGGTCCCTCCGCGACAAAGGTTTGTAACAGACGGGCCCCCCTCCCCGCGACAAGGCTACAACCCCCCCCCCCCCCCCCCGCGACAAGACAGCAATACCATTGAATTTTCTCATTGCCAATCTCGATGCGACCTTGATGCGTGTTTGCAGCAGCTTTCACTCTCAGTCCGCGACAAGGCCTGCGACAGCGCGACATACCCGCGACAACCCGCGCGACTGCTCGAGCCAGCAGGTGCCCATTCGTAGGACAACCTTGAACGAGAAGCCCAGGGTTTATATTTACAGGGTTCAGGGTTTAATGGCTCTCCGGTAAAATCCCTGCGGTCCCTAAACCCTTCATCCGAAACCCCAACCCTAAACCTAAACCGTTTATCCTAAACCCTTACAAAACCCAAATAAGAAAATTGGGTTCAAAGTAGCGGCGCGACAAACGTATGAAACAACCTGCCCGCGACAAGGCTTGTAACAGAGGGGGTGGGGAACCCCCCGCGACAACCCGAATTTTGACCCACCCCCTTGTAAGCCAAGGTCGAGTTCGAGACCATGAGGCACTCTGCACCGGCGCTGGAGCAGGTTGGGGGAACTTTGGTGGGGCCCAACTCATCCCAGCTCTCGAAAATCTCAGCAGAAGACCTGGACACGTCAATCAGCAGGTTAAGCATCTCATCGTGGGCACGTTGGACGCCACGCTGACGGACGATGGCGGCGCGGTGCCTTGTTTCGACGAAGCCGACAGAGTTCAGCACAATTGTAGCGCGGCCGTTGTACTACTGTACGTCAGCCTAGAATTTCCAACGGTCCACGGGGATATTTTCTCACCGGTGCTGAATTGTGCTGCCAATGTCTTGCAGAGAGCCTTGTGTAGTGCAGCATCATCTTGCAGAGCTCACCATTTGCAATATGGGTAGTTGCGTTTCTTCGCTTCGGCCGGTAGCGGATCTAGCAGCTATAAGCTACCAAGAATCTGCGCGGGCCATGGATTGCAGAATGCTGGGGGAGTGCATGGCGGACGTGTGTCTGCAAAGTTGCTCTTCTTGCTCAGTTTTCTTGCCCTCTCATCCCGCATGACTTCTCCCCGAATCCACAGATATTGCCCCCACATGTTTTCGAAAGCAACAAAGGAAAATCAGACCGGCCGGAAGTTGTCCTTGACAGGTGGGCCGGGGAGTGGGATCATCGCGTCGGCATCATGACAGGGCAGGGCAGGTAGTCGAGGAGTCTATTGGGCAAGGATGTTTGCATCGCTGCGCCTTTTCGAGAGCCCGAAGGAAGGAATGCAACATTGCATTGAGGGAAGAGCTCCTTAGCCCTTTGCCTTGCAGTACAAAACCTCTGCACAGACCAAACATTGCGGGGGTAGTTTTGCTCACGTTCCATCTCAGGCGGACGTCAAAATTCGCAGGCTCATCTCGGGGAGAGCCGCTGGTGGAACGTGGATGAACGAGGCGCTCAGAGCAGTCAGAGCAGTCTTTGATCTTAAGCCAGCTGAAGCCTTGTAGGGCCTTGCTCCCCGCGATGCTTGCGGTTCGGATTCCCAAAGCATCCAAAAGTAAACGGGTTGCGTCTCGGATGGAAGGATGCAAGCTGCCACCTGCGTGTGTGTGTGAGAGAGCCGCGTGTTGCCAATTGAATGGTTCGTTCTTGTTGTATTCTTTATCGTTTGATCTGCTTTTATTTGCTTGGAAGTTTGAGATGATTTGCATCAGTCTTTGTTTTATCCCTTTCTCCATTCCGTCGAATCCATTCTTCGCACACTCGGGATTGAAAAAAGTAGTGCCGCTCATGGGCGCAGCATGCACAGCGAAAGCTCACAAGAATCTAGTGCACACCTCTCCCTGTCCATGAGTCTGGCTCAATGTCAGCATAAGGTTCCGCATTTTGCAGGAAAGAAGTAAGCATGTTCTGCAGCGTTAGTCCATGTACTCGTGCTCGCAACAAAATGCCAAACAAACGTGCATGAATTCATGAGCCACTCTTCATTCTGCGACGGCCGTAACTGCGGGGGTCTTGTCCCTATTGCTGTTGCACCGAGCGGAGCGCTTCAAAAGCAGCGCAAGTGGCTTGTAACAGCGTCGCGTTAAAACCCCCTCACCTGCACGAAGCACATGCCAGCAGCAGAGCGGCCATACATGGCCACATGGCCATACGTTTTCGGCAATGGCGTCCAATCGCGGCTTCGGAATCCACGGAGAACCGGCAGCCCCGAACGCTGCGAACTGCACTCGAAGCAAACTACAACAAGCAAAAACAAATCTACAACAACAGGAGTTTGGGTGCTGAGAAGAGAGCAGAGGTCTGTGCCCAATCATTCACAAGCGACTGCAAATCACAAGACCTTTCGACATCCTCCAGATGTAGCACAATGGGTGCAGCAGCCGAACACACATCTCGAACCTCGATACGACCTCCATGAAACCGCCTAGCCATCCCATCGAAACATACTCGTACGGGCGAAAACCATGGTGGCAAATTTTGTGTCGACGGCTATGTCGCTTAAACGTCTTGAGCCGAAGCTTGAAACAACGAAGTCGTGCTTTTGCTAACTTGGAGTTGTGCACGAGCAAACAAAACCAGGCCCATCAACGAGCCGGCCCAGCCAAGCATCCTCATTATTCCTCATTTCTAGAACTAGAGCACAACCCCTCTCCATCGCGCGTATCACCACACTTTGGTCTCGGGTTTTGCTGTTTGCAAAGCCAGTAAAGAGCCAAGCCATGCCCCGAGTAAGTCCCGAAATGGTCGAATATCGGAATGTAGAATTCAAAGCAATGTCAAAGCCACCTTTTCCGTGACCAAACGCGGATCTGACGTTCACTGGCAGCAGGGCCGAAGTTAAGGAAGTGGGACCTGCAAGCTAATCCCTAAACCCCTTTTGTTTGCGTCAATCTTGGAGTGGGATCCGGTCTCCAGGCTTTCTTCCCAGCAAGGACCCTGTGAAGACCTTGCCAGCACCATGGGATCAGCTGGTCATGCTGTGCTTCTTGGTAAAATCTGATGTTAAGGCTGGGGTTTGGGGTTCAGGGTTTTGGGCTATGGCATTCTGAATGCTCAGGGCTGGGGGAAAACAGGGACCCCATGCGCCTCCCTAACCGAAAACGCTTGCACTCACTGCTTTGGCAGCCACGGGACGGGATGTCGACGGTCCCAGAGGTGCGCCTCGCATTTCGTCCGCACGGTCGCTGCAGATACAGAAAGCGGCAGACGGCGGAGAGTAACCTTAAGCCGGCAGCACGCGTCATTGAGTTAGACGTATAATGGGGTTTGTTGGAGGACCCCTGAAACCTTGCTTGCCTTGATTGGCAGCAAGGGCTGCAGTGTCAGCAGGCTGTGCAACATGTTCAGTGCACGTGTTGTTTGTGCCCGTGTTCTTGCTTTCAAGTTGATAGGGTGCTCGTGGGCTTGTTGCGAGCGGAAGCTTGCGAAGGTGCCACGGGCCTAGCTGATCCCAGAGACTCCCAACGGCCTACAGGCTTGACCCCCCTCGGTTTTTCACCAAATTTTTACAAGGGTTGCGGCGGAGGAAGAGAGACAGGATCTTGGTCTGAGGTTCTTTTCAAGTTCCATCCCTTTGGTTCGAAAGTGTTCGAAATGTGAAATGTGTTTTCTGAATCCACGCACGCCTTCGACCGATTGAAGTACCACATTGCGACCATGAACTGGAAAAAGGTCTTCCAGCATCATGCGTCATCTGCGGGCCATGAGACTGTCGTCTTTACGAAGACAACACTTCAGCCATGTTCACGAAACCCTAGCAAACTACCCGAACAAGGCCCAGAGATTGCAGCTCTTGGTTTTGATCCCTCTGAGAAACGCTAAGGTGAACAGCTGCCATCCCTGTTGCTTGGCTTGCAAACCCAGACAGCTTTTAGGCTCTGTTTGGCATGTGCAATGGTGATCAAACACTCGGCATGTCATGGTCCTAGAGCTTGACCCGGCCCACAGGACGGTTCAGGGCGCATTGCGACGGCATCTCCCGCTTGTACTCAATTTGCCTACGGGCCCTGCAGAAGTGACACTGAGCAGAGTGAGGGTTGGTTGCAGGGTAGGTGTGGACGCAAGTTGCGCGAATGTCGGCACTGCCTGTACACGATACTGTAAACTCGACATGAAGGGCTTTATTGCGCGTGATAGCTGTGGAGGAGCCACGGTACCTTAGACAATGCGGTTGTGATGCTCCCCAAGACCCCTAAAGATTTCGCTGAACAGCAGCAAAGGAGTGCGGCGCTGGACCTGCTGACAGAAGGGGAGCTCGAGTGTTTGCACTCCGTATTGGGATACGTTTCCCTCGCTTATGCTGCTTAGCTGCATGGGCGTTCTATCTTCGCCGTGCAGGCTCGATCTATGCACGTTTAGTTTAATCAAG